TTCAGGGAGAGGATTCAAGGTCTGGAGAAGATTCCTAATTATTTCAAGACCCTTGGATTGCCCTTAAAAAAAAAAAGTCCTTAAAAAAAAAATCTAGGGTAGAGACGCACATTCTCCAGCTCGATTAGCAATGTGATGACAGCAGGGTTAAGAACATAGGCTCTGGGTGCCTGGGTGGCTCAGTGGGCTAAGCCTCTGCCTTCAGTTCAGGTCATGATCTCAGGGTTCTGGGATTGAGCCCCACATTGGGCTCTCTGCTCAGCAGGGAGCCTGCTTCCCCGCTCTCTCTCTGCCTCCCTCTCTGCCTACTAGTGATCTCTCTCTGTGTCAAATAAATAAACAAAATCTTAAAAAAAAAAAAAAGAAAGAAAGAAAGGAAAGGAAGGAAGGAAGGAAGGAAGAAAGAAAGGAAGGAAGGAAAGAAAAAGAACATAGGCTCTGGGACCCAGGAACTCAGGAACTCCATTTCCTGGGCTTAAGTTCTAGCTTTGCTTCCTACTGACTTTGAGACTTTGGGCAAATTACTCTGTTGTTCTGTGCCTCAACTTCCTCATTCAAAAAAATGAGGATAATAATACTACCTGCTCGTAGGGTTTTCCTGACAATTAATGAGTTTTCACATGTAAAACTCTCAGAACAATATCTGGCACATAGTAAGCCTTCAATAAATGTCATCACAATACACGTTATCACCATTAAGAGTATCTCAATCTGTTGAATGGATAAAGAAGATGTGGTGTATATATACAATGGAATACTATGCAGCCATCAAAAGAAATGAAATCTTGCCATTTGCAACGACGTGGATGGAACTAGAGGGTATTATGCTTAGTAAAATAAGTCAATCGGAGAAGGACAACTGTCATATGATCTCCCTGATATGAGGAAGTGGAGATGCAATGTGGGGGGTTTGGGGGGGGTAGGAAAAGAATTAAATGAAACAAGATGGGATTGGGAGGGAGAAAAACCATAAGAAACTCTTAATGTCACAAAACAAACTGAGGGTTGCAGGGGGGAGGGGGGCTGGGGGGGTGGGGTTACGGACATTGGGGAGGGTATGTGCTACGGTGAGTGCTGTGAAGTGTGTAAACCTGGCGATTCACAGACCTGTACCCCTGGGGCTAATAATACATTATAAGTTTATAAAAAAATTAAAAAATTAAAAAAAAAAGAGTATCTCAATCTGTGTTTTCCTTGACTGTGAGTCAATATATAGATTAGGCCATTTGGAACATCAGATCTTATTAAGACTATGTGTTTGTGTATGTATAGATATATGTGTGATAATGTGGTAACTATGCCAATACCCTTCACATTCTGTTTAATTCATGTTTAAAAGCTGCTATAATTTCAGGGGCGCCTGGGTGGCTCAGTCACTTGATTTTGGCTCAGGTCGTGATCTCAGAGTCATGAGACCCAAACCTGCATCGGGTTCTGTGTTCAACAGGAAGTCTGCTTGTCTCCTTCTCCCTCTGCTCTGCCCTTTCCCCTACCCCACATAAATAAATAAATCTTATTTTTAAGAAAAGATGCTATAGTTTCAGATTCGGTTGTCATGCTCTTGGGAATCTTATCTCTTAAGAGCTTAGACCAAATGATTTTAAGGTGAGTGCCTTTGGTTCAGGAGACATTTGTAAGCAGTGCTACTTGCTTTTGGAATGAAGCCTTTGCTGGCCCCATGCGTCTGCTACTGTCAACCTGAGGGAATGATTTTGTCCTTTTTCTTTTTTCTTCCTTTCTTCTGGCTTGTTGGAGCCTGTAGACTTAACACCTGGAAGAGGGTCTGGCACAGCATGCTCAGAACATGTGTTATTAAAAAAATGACTGAGTATGTTATTTATTAATAAATAAATGACTGAACCTCATTCAGTTAAAAACATGCATTTGCACAATTTCCTAATGTCACATCCCAACATCACCAGCCTGTTGCTGCAAAATAAAGTCGCTTACTTTATGGATCAATTTATGGTGGGTTTACACCACCACCGCTTCATCCTGCAAGCTATACCAAACCTCACGATACCACCCCCCACCCCACCCACGTTATTTCTGTGACTCTTCTAAGGGACCCTCCCTGTGTCCACATGGACTGTGGCAGCCTCGGTCCTCAAATGGCATCCTCCCCATTCTCCCTGTCCTTCCCCCTGTGGCCAGGGCCCTCGAGGACCGTCAGAGGGCATCACTGCCTGCCAACAGATGACCACACCCATGCTAGATGGGCTGAGCCTGGCTTCTCTTGAAGCCACCAGTCCTCAGAGTAGCAGTGTTGCAGAAGGCCTCAGAGAAGCAAGAGGCTCCAGCTCTGCCCAGGTTTTGCCATGTTTTGCTTGTTGGCCTCTGAGGGCAGCTGCTCCGTACCGAGTCCCACAGGTTTTCTTAGGGAAAGTCTCCTCAGTTCTTAACTCCTGCAGGATGCAGGCTTCAGGGCTGCACAGGGCCAGAGCTGTGGCCTCTGCCCTGCTCTCCTCCACCTCCCTCCGAGGCCCCTTTCCTCTCCTCTCCTCTCCTCTCCTCTCCTCTCCTCTCCTCATACAGAGGAGAGGCTCCCAGGCCTCTCAGTGGGTGGCAACATCCTGGAGGTCAGCACGAGCAGAAGTCCTTGCCTCCAGGATATGGCGCTCCAGCCTGCAGACATCCTCAAACGTCCTCTCATCCACCTAAGAATAGCAACTGTCTCCTGAGTTTGTATCAGCAGATACAGAGCTGCTGCTAGGATCTTTACATAGAATAGCTCTCATCACCTTCATAGCAATGATTTTTTTTTTTTTTAACACCACGTATTAATGTGGGAAGTGAGGCCCAGGGAGACTTAGTCTCTTGCACAAAGTCACATGTAAGCAGCAGAACCAGGATTCAGACCCAGGGTTGTCAGACTGGAAAGTACCATGTTATTTCATACAATCAGAAAGTCTGACCTCAGCCGTAGGGAGAAACACACAATGCCCAGCAGGTTTCTTGGAGACACATCTGGAAACACATCTGTTAATTACCCATTCATTTTTTAGACCCCAGAAATGGGAGAGCACCCCTAAGCTGAAACCCTGTCTCCCAGCTCTTTAGTTAGAGGCTTAAAATTATGCCAGCTTAGAGGCCAGGCCCATCGCAGCATGGTTGGGCAGGCAGCCCCTGGACCCTCGCCATTCCTTCATGCAGTAGAACTTGGCCCAGCCTCACTCCCACTGGATGGGAGTCACTTGCAGCATCTCCACATTTGCCGGAACCCTAGGTTTGGCTGTACCTCTTTTTCTTTCTCAGTATGGCTCTTGCCAGCAAATGGGTACTTTCCCCATATTTCTCAGTGCAGGAAGTTGCCCCACAGGCCCAGTTTCTCAGATCACCTCTACCCTGGTTCAAGTTCTGGATTTGTCCCAGAGCTCATGCCCCTCCCAGGGCCTGGATGCTGGCCTGAGCCTCTATCCCAGAGGCTCTCATGACCACTGTCCCAGAGACTGCACAGCTGCCCAGGCTTTTGTGTCCATGTCAGGTCTCCCAATCCCTGCCTTCAATGGGCTGGGATGGGGGTTAATTAGCTCTAGTTCCAGAGTCCGTTCCCTCCCAAGCAACCCTGTTGGGGCTTGTCCTGCTCAGGAGAAAAGCCCAGTCCAGGCCCCTGAGGGGCACGACCGGATAGACAAGCCCTACAAATATTACCATTAGAGGCATATGCGTGGCCCTTTGGACAAAGGTTTGCAGCCTCCTGTGGAGTCAGATCTGGGGGCTGGGGGATGGATCCACCCGCTGAAGGAGCCAGGAGGCAGGCCGAGCCTGGCTGTCCAGGAGACTGATCCTGTGAGTCAGCTAACACACACACAAGGAGAGAGCAGGAGGTCATCTTGGCCCTTGCTTAACAGATTTTATTGACCATTTACAAAAGAGGTTCATCGCATGCAAATTGGAAGGATGTCGCATTTCCCGTGCGGGACAAACTTGGTCCAGCGCAGTCCCTTCCTGAAATACACGCTGCAAAATGCCTCCTTGTTCGGTCTGGGATCCCAGCTTGTTAGATTTCACTTCTTAATACACTCTGGGGTGGGGACTGCAGAAACCCCAGCCAGGAGCTTACACATCGATATATCTGAGTAACACCTTGAAACACAGACTTAGAGATCAAGAAAAGTGCATGTGCATATAATCGGTTTAAATAAAATCACCGACGATACTCCAGAGCAGTTATTAGTGAGGGGGGCAAGATGCAAAGAACCATTCTACTTCCCTCTTCCTGCACATGGCCAGACTCCTCATAAAGCAGGGTTCCTTGAAGTTGGGCAGAACTTCCTCTCACTAAGCATAGAGGCCTGCGTGTCTTCTCTCCTTCGGCAGGTTGTCACAAACTGACGAGGTGTGCTCAGTCAGGGGAAAACATCGAGAACACAGGACCCTCCAACCAGGTCTCTGCTACCAACCTGCTGTGAGGCCTCTAGCAATCACTCCTCCCTTGGAAACCCATTTGTCTTCTTGGCAAAACGGAGGCTTGGGCTTCATGTGCTGCTTGGATTTGGTCCTTTCTGACGGTGGCTGGCCAGGGCAGGGCAGCATGGGGGATGTGGTGGGGGAGAATGGAACTGGGGGAGCCTCAGTCAAGGCCAGTGACATCATCCAGCTCTGGCCACCATGGATCAGGGGCTGCACTCAAACCCAGCTTAGGCCCTCCTGGGGGTGCTTGGCAGAACAGCTTGAAAGGCTCCTAATACTTTCTGGAAGAGTTTACCCCAGAGAATTAGCCTGCAGAAAAATACTCTGCATTTGTGGTGCTTTGCACTTGGCTAAAGCCCTTGTTATCACATTTTCTTCAATCTTCACCTTGGCCCTGCGTGTGAGGCAGTGAGGACTGATTTACTTCATTTTACAGATGAGGAAGTGAATGTTCAGGGAATTTAAACGGCACTCCCAAGGTTACACGATGTGAGAAGGATAAAAACAGATCTCTCTAAAATTCAGCCCTGCCCTGTCTCTTTCAGGACTCGTGATGGAGCAGCGCCTTAGGAGGGGCTCCAGGCTCTTCTGGGTGTCTCTAGGACCACTGCAGGGCTCCAGCTTGGACATTTCTGGGCCCACCTGGAACAGCCCTGGCTGGGGTCATCTCATACCTCTGTCCTCTGGTCCCGTGTTGGTACAGCAGGGGCCCACAGACTCTGCCCAGACACCAACCCCCATCTTTCCAATAGCTCTGAGGATCAGCCCCATAGTCGGTGTGAGTTTTCAGTGCATCGTGGCCCTGCCCTGATGCACTCACTCTCCTACAGCCTGCAGGGGTCACTGACCACAACCTTAGCCAGGGCTGACTCTTTTTCCTGCTCCGGCTCTTAGCTGGAGGCTTCAGGATCCAGGTTCCCCTTGGCCTTGCTACATGTAGCCAGGGCCCTGGTCCTCAACTGAGGATGTTGAGGGTCCAGGAGGACTTGAGGGACTCTGTGAGGTCTGAGGTTGGTGAGCAGAAGACACTCAGAGCTGGCTCTTTGTGGATTCCCAGCCTCTGTGGAATGGGGAGCATCAGAGCTGTGCCAACAATCTGGGTGATGAGGAAGTATTTGCCAGTTGCATCCCCTAAACAGAGAAATCCCTCATCCAAGGCATATCCAGAGCCATGGATATGGGGCTTACATCATGGTCCAAAACAGAGGTGACCCTAAGGTGCAGATGGCAGGGAGCATGGTCCAAGTGTAGGACAAATGGGCTGGGGAAATGAGGGTCCACAGGACACATGCTAGAAGTAAGCCTTATTACCTACATTCTTCTTCTCAAACTTCTGCCTGAGCTCGGAGACCAGAGCTGATTGGACAGGGCTTCCCACCTTGGGTTTTGGTGACCGTTGGGGTTGCTGAGGGGTGAGTGAGCCAGAGACTGTAGGCACAGTCCAGGGGGCCACGCCCATCTTGGACGCCATTGTGGGTGGTGGAGGGGGAGCTGGGGCTTTGGGGGGCAGTGTGCTTCCTAGGCTGTTGTTGTTGCAGTTCTCATTGGAAGGATCCTCTTTGAGCACAAACTTGGCAGCAGCCTTGGTCTTTTGGAACTTGAGCCATTCGATGCGCATAGCCCGGGGCGCAGGGGTGGGCCGCTTACGGAGCACGCGCCGCACGGGAAGGACCTTGTTGGACTTCTTATTGCGCCAGAAGGTGGCAGTGGAGATGAGGACGGTTATGGCCACGATGATGGCCATGATGCCAGCCAGGACACCCACAGCCTTCATGGGGTTGTCTTTGGTCTGCATCAGGAAGGCGGCCATGGGGCTTCGGGACAGCATCTGGAAGAGAGAGCCATCCCGTTACCTTCTGTGACTCCTGCCCGGTCCCTGGAGGACAGAGCAGGGCTCATGAGCTCCCTGAAGCCTGATGGTTTAAAAAAACATCTTTCTGGGGTCAGGCATCCCTGGAAAATCTGATGAGCACCATGGGCTTTGGTCCAGAAAAAATGCACACAGAGAAAATGTGATGCATACAGCCCTCCAGAAAAACGCACAGCAAGAGAGCATAATGCAAACAACCTTTTTCAGATTAAGAACTCCCACATTAGCTGGACTCTCTTCTTGAGAGATTAGGGGATTGCTTACCTTTGATTATGGAGGGCCTCTTCTGTCCAAGTGAATCAGGACCCCTCTTAAGTGATGATTTTCTGCCAGATACTGAGCTGAGAACTATGTACCATGATTTTACCTCTGCGTTTTAACACCCATGCGAAAGAGCCATCACTATTCCCAGTTTACAGGAAAGGAAGAAGAGGCCGGGCAAAGCCCCAAATCACACTGTTAAAAGGTGTTGAAACTAGGATTTCTACTTGATTCCAAAGCCTGTGTGTCTGATGGCAGAAGCAGCCTTTGCTAGCATTGAGTGTCTTTTGGAGTAAGGCTGGAGATGGTCTTTGTTCCTCTGATGACACCGCAGCAAGGCCTGAGCTGGCCCTCTGACCCTCTCCCCGACGCAGACTTGGTACCCACCTCGGTGTCTGTGATGTCAATCTTGAGTAAGGCTGTGGTGCTGAAGGATGGGGAGCCACGGTCCTTGGCCTGCACCTCTAGGGACCATGTGAAGTCCCCGCCAGGTGTAATATTGTGCAGGGCATCGAGGGAGCGGATGGAGTTCTTAAGCCGGATCTCCCCCGTGTGCACATCGATGTCGAACACGTTGGCTGGCTCAACGTGTGTGATGGAATAGTCCACCAGATTGTTGGGCTCTTCCGCGTCCTGGTCCGTGGCCTGTGTGTGGGTTGGGGGGAGGGTCGGACAGAGCTGGGCTTCGACGACAACACTTGTGTACCCTGGCTAAACCAATAAATCATATGTGGCTTGCTGTGTTGAAGGGAAATCATCCTAGCCCTACCTGGAGTAGACTGGAGTTGGGAGAAGTATTGAATAAGCCAGGGTCTGTGCCAGGCCCCCTACGTGTATTACACCATTCCATCCTCAGAACAAGTCTGGGCGGTACGTATTGTTAAAAAAAAATAAATTTGGATGATAAGTGACAGTCTAAGGATGGATATAGAGAAGGAGGGGAGATGGGATTCAAAGTCAAGTCCCTTGGGTTTCAGAGTTCATGCTTCTTCCACGTTAGCAAGACAGTGTCGCTCAGCACTGCTCTGAAAACAGGCAGACCTACTATGTGAACAAAAGCAACCCAAACACCTAAGCTACCCAAGCCTCAATTGCTTCTTTTGTAAAGTGGCAATAATAGTTTCTCTCTTAGAGGTTATTTCTGGGTTGAGTTGGGGGTGGGATGTATAATGAACCTTAAAATCCTCTGCTCATATTGGGAAGCCACTAGTTTTATTTTAAAATAAATTCTTCTGCTATGGTGCCTCTTGGAGCAGCTAGAACAAGGCTTTTAGGGAAGCTTCGTTGCCTTCAAAGCTCACCTCAATTTTCACCGGGGTCCCCAGCACCATTGTCTTCTCCTGGATACTCTTTCCAAACTGTGGGTAGTGGTCATTGACATCCAGGAGAGTGACAAAGACCTCGGCCAGGCTGTATTTGCCCTCCATGTCCTCTGCCTTCACATAGAAGTTGTACCTGGCTGTGGCCTCAGCATCCAGGCTGGCCCAGGGCTGGGTGTAGATGATTCCAGTGGACGGGTGGATCAGGAAGCTGCCAGGCATAGGGAGCTCAGGCTTGGGTGTGCACAAGCACAGGTGCGTGCATACAGGCACGAGTGTGTGTGCGCGCGCGCACACACACACACACACACACCGGCAGGAGTGACCTACCTCTAATGCGTTATGCAGCTTCTCCAAAGTAGCTCACCTGATCCTTTCCCCAACCCTGCAGGCTGATGGAGGCAGGCCCACCCATTTACTCACCCACCTCTTAACCTTGAACTTACCCAGACTCAGACTCACAGCCCTTCCCTTTCCACCCAGAGCCTACCCCTCCCTAGCTCCAGGCCATGACAGTGACCCTTCTCTTAGATCCCTGAACCTCTGCTTCAGGGTCTCTACTGCTTTCCTTTCCCCCACTGGGCTTGTATTCATTTCTCCAACCCGGTCTAGGTCCCTCCTGCTTTCCGCCCAGATCCCCTCTGCCCCTGCCTCCCAAATCCCTTGCCCAAGGCTCTTTCCAGAATTCTGGATCTACTTACGGGTCTGCCCCGGACCCATAGATAGAGTATTTGACTTCGCCCCACCGACCTGTGTCTGGATCTACAGCCTGGAAGAGAGAAAGCTCTTAGTGGTCCGTGTCCTTTGTTGGGACATGTTGGCAGCTCATGTGTCTGAGGGCTGCTTTCCCTGGCAACACAAGGGGATTTGGGGTTGACCCAACTGGGCAGAAACTGATCTGAAGGCCTGCTCCAGAGCCCTAGCTTTCTACCCAGGAGGGCTCAACTGTTGGAAGAACCAAAAGGTTTAGATCTAGAAGGCATATATCCCTCCTTTGTAAAAGAGAAAGGGAAAGGAGATGGGTCCTATGCCCTGGCTTCGGGGGTTTTGCCTATGTCCTCCTTAGAGTCCTGAGAGGTATTGTTATCCCCATTGTACAGAAGAAGAAACTGAGCCTCAGAGAGGTCAGGTAGCTTGTCCAAGGACACAGTTAATGCGTTTGGGCTTTGTGGTTCAAACTGGAGCCCAGGTCTCTCTGATTTCATCAAGCCTCCTTCAGTAGGGGCTCCTAACCACAGCTCCAGTCCCTGGGCTAGTCCTCAACCCACTGTGACAGCCACCACGTTGGAGCCTCCTGGAGAATTCTCAGGGATTCTGGCAATGTAGTAGTGGGAGGTGAACTTGGGGACATTGTCATTGGTGTCCAGGAGCTGGATCACAACATCTGCTGTAGAGCTGAACTTCTCTGGAGTGTTCACTTCAATGGCCAGTAGCTGAGGAAGGAAAGAAAATAAGGACTTGTCTGGGCAGTGGTCACCAGGCAGAAAGCCTTCCCATTTGCTGTCCCAGCAGGGTCGGGCGCACACCTGCCCTGTACAGCTTCAGTCTCCACCACCAGCCTGTGATGCCTGCCGCCACCTGCGGGGGGCACCTCTAAGGCCCACTGTCTTGAAAGGCCTGCGTATAGTTGTATTTGGGCCAATTTCTTTTGTCCCATTGATTTGCTTACTCCTTTTCAGTTTCAATTTCAAAAATTATTTTGTTATATAATATAATTTAATATTTGTTAGGGAAGTTCTTGCCTCATATTCTTTCTTTCTGTTTTCTTGACTATTCTTATAAGTTTATTTCTCCAGATAAAAATCAGTGTAATGTCAATCCCCCTTCCCGTCCCCAAAGGAAATTCCACATAAGACTTAATTGAAATGATATTGGATTCTTTATTCATTTGATGAGACTTTGCATTTTTTTAAAACAAAGTAAGCCTTTATACTTCTTGCTTTCTTTATATCCCTTTCTTAAATTCTTGTGCTTTTTTGTTATTTAGATGCTGTATATTTCTTATTATCCTAATAACTAGGAATTTTATCTTTTAGTTGTTATTATAAAAGAGGATCTTCTATTCCATTATTCTCTTTGCTATTTTTCTTATGTGGGAATACTCAAATTTTGTGTATTAAGTTTGTAATCAATCATGTTAGCAACTTTGCTGTGTTTGTTTTTCCAACATTTCTTAGGTTTGTCTAAGCAAACAAAAACACCACCTACAAACAATGATAATTTTGTCCCTTCCTTTCTAACATTCATACTTCTTATTTCCTTTCTTTACGCAGGAATAACATTACCCCAGGAATAGTGTTAAATAACAGTGGTGAGAGCAGGCCCCCACAATTTGTTTCTGACTTCATAGGAAGCTTTTAGATTCTCACTTCTAAGCATGACACTTGCTGTAGTGGCATATGTACGTATAATTATAAATAATTGTAACAGTTTAAATAATATTAGTGAAGTACGTTTTTACTTTTTATTACTATATAGTATTTATGTTTATATCTAATATTCATTATTTACATATGTTCATAATTTTAAAAAATCAGATACAAAGGAGTATTTTTTTAACTTCTACTAAAGTTTTTATCAGAATCAATGATAGATGTCAAACACCTATGAGAAATACGTTTATCTTGATAATCAAATAGTTTTTTTGTCTCAGTCTATTAACATGGCACCTTGAATGCCAGTGCTTTCCTGGGACAATGATAATTTAGGAACAGGGGCTCAGTGAGGCTGTGTGAGCAGGGGGAGCAGGCTCTTTTTACCCTCCCCTTCCTCCCTCCCTGCCCCCATTCCTGCTCCCCCAGTCAGCAGGAGGGGCAGAGGAACTGAGAGGAAAAAAGGAGGGCCAGAAGGGGCAGAAGGTGACAGGGCCCCCTCAGGAATAAATCCAGAAGCTGCTATGAGCTCCTAGGAACCCCGCCTCCCCCATTCAGGGCAGTGCAAAGCATCACCTACCTTAAAGGTTAGCACTTTGAACTTTTCAAAGTCAATGGCGGCTGAGTTCTCCACAATGATGGTGACTTGGGCTTCATTCAGGACTGTCAGTGGAACCACTCGGAAGATGCCCCCAGGTCCCACCAGCCGCAGGTTGAATTTGGCATTGGCTCCCTGGACCACAGAGATTGGAGGGAGGCAACGGGGAAGATGAGTGAGAAAAGAAACTCATTAGATGGTCATGCTAAGCGAGGAGCCTTCCTTATGCCCTTAACCCTGGCAGGTGAGTATTATTACTTCTTTCTGTCAGCCAGGCCACGGAGAATCAGAAAGACTTAGCAGGCTATGGAGACTAAGTCAGGTAACAAACGCTCACAGACAAGCCGTCGGCCGGGCAGAGGAGGTGATGGGAAGTGGTCACAAAAACTCCCCGGAGATCTAATACAGAGGGGCTTCTGTTTGGCTGGCTATACTTTTTAACTGATTGTGAATGTCCGTAGACTAAGCAGAGAGTCTGTGGTTAGCTCCTCTCCCCCATCTCTCTCTTGGTTACACCTTCTTATTTCATTCATTTTGTGACCTGCCAGGCCCTTGGGACATAAGCGGTGAAGGCTGGTGAGCTCTCAGCTCAAGTCTCTTGGAAGACAAGGCGGAAGGCAGGACCACACACCTGGTCTGAGTCGTTGACGGTGATCTTGAGGCCCCGCAGGATCTCCCCCTGAGGTGGGTGCTCGTACATGGACAGCTCAAATCTGTTCTGGGGTCCACTCTCACCATAGAACGTAGGCGGATGGTTGTTGAGGTCCACGATCCTGATGGTGACTGGGACCATGGCCTGGGCGGCTGGGATCCCGGCAGAGCTGACCTCAGTCACCTGGGGTGGGGGCAGGTGGCTATTGCTGTGTGGCAGGAGACTCCAAGATGGCCCCATGGATCCCCGCCTCCACGTGTTCATCCTCTTGTATAATCCCCTCTAAGCGTGGCCTGCCCTACAACTAACTTCAGATAGCACATGGCAATGGTGATGGCATATACTTGGTGATTAGACCATGAAGATTGTAACGTCTGTTTTCTAGCAGACTGTCTCTCTTGCTGGCTCTGATGAGACGAGTAGCTATGTTGGAGAGGTGCATGTCTCAAGGAGCTAATGGTGATCTCTATCCTACAGGACACTAGGAACTAAATTCTGGCCATAATAATGTGATCCTGGAAGCTGATCCTTCCACAGTCAAGAGAACCCAGGCTGACAATCTGATGGCAGCTACATGAGAGACCTCGCATCTGTGGACCCGGCTAACCTGGAATCCTGGCCCACAGAAACTGCGAGATACAAATGTGAGCTGTTTCAAGACCCTAAGTTTGCGGAAACGTTACAACAGCCACAGGCAACGATATGGTGCTAGTACTGATCCCATTTCTCAGATGAGGCACAGAGGGGTGAAGTAGTCACCTGGGGTCACACAGCTAGTGAGGGGCAGAGCTGGAACAGGAAGAACTCAGGTGTGTCTGATTCCTTAACCAGCGCTCTCTCCATCTCCCCACACTGGCCCCTCTTTGCATCTAGAGACATATGGGATCAAATCCCAGCTCTGTCACATTCTGTCCTGGTGTCCATTTGGCCAAAGGGAGGCTGTAGGGAGGGGAGGTGCGGCGACACAGCAACAGATAACTAACATGGCGGCAAAGCCAAGGCTGAGAATCCACAGGCTCCATGTGAACCACTCCCTGTGACAGATACTATCAAGGACCTCCCTGCCTTTGTTCTTTAAGCATGCTCTGTCTTACCTATCCTGAAACTCTGCTCCTGGGAACCACTCTGTCACACCCTAGCTGCTATCCTGGATCCCTTCTCAGAAGCCTACACCTCCATTTCCTAATTCCTCCTCCACTCTCAGCCCATCCCCTACAGAGATCCTTCACACCAATTTCCATGCTGCATGCAGCACTGTCACCTCCTTTGCTTTCCTGAGTGTCCTCTGCTAATGTGACTCTGCTCTCCGCAGGCTCCTCTCTACCTCTCCGATCGCTCCTGGGTTTCCCTCACCTGCCTCCCCATTCCCCACAATCCTCACTCAGCCTCCAGTGCCCCCACAGCTGCATTCTCAGCCAGTGCTCCTCTGTCCCCACGGCCACTCTCTGGGCAATCCCATTCCCCAAAACCATCCTTCCATAGCTGCCTGTATGCTGACACTGTCTCCCCAGGTTCCGAACCTGTATATCCAAGTTGTGTGTTCAACCTGAATGTTCCTGAGACAGAGAAGCTTTCCATGCCTGTCCTCCCTAACCACCTCCTCTCCTGTGCTCCCAATGGCATGGCACCACTCCAGACACCCCATCCCTGTCCCTTCCCTTACCCCTCACAGCCACATTCTGTGGAGTCGGCCTCCTTCATATTTTGCAATTTGTCTATTTCTGTTATTCCACCTCCCTCCATCCCCAAGGGCCTTCTTAACTAATGACTTTGCCTCCCTGCCTCTCATCCAGTTTCCTCCAAACTCAAGGTGGGACCAGTGTTCTCAAATCTTAGGCTGGAACTGGTGCCAGAGTCACTTGAGAGATTAGAACATGCAGAGTCCTGGGTTTCTTCCAGACACACAAACTTCCTGTTGCCAGGACTAGGTCCTGGAAATCCTTGTTTGCCAAACTCTGAATCTGAACCCCGCCATCCCCCTGCCCCTCCACCCCTGGTCTAAAGCAGACAGATGAGCTTTTTAGCAAGACTCTAATCATGCTCAAAACCCTTCAATGTCTCTTTACTCCTCTTGGGGAGAACCAGCTGCATAATTTGCAGACCCAGTGAAAAATGAAAATATTTTCTAACAAAAATTTTCTTAAAAATTGTTTTAAAATCTTGTTAAAAAATTATTAAGGATTTCAAGACAGCAAGAGCAGATCATTATGCCCAGCATGGGACCCTTCCGATGGTGATCCCTGTGTAATTACATAGACCACACGCCCACAAAGCTGGCCCTGTTCCAGGATAAAAACTGTATCTCATATTCAGGGCTTTAACTCCGCCCCAGCCTGAATCCAACTGTTTCTCTGTCTACATGCTGCCCATGAACTCCAGTTCTAGTCATGGCTCTCGCTCACGACTCCTTGCTGCTTCCCTAGTCCGTCATGTGCTCTCACCTCCAGCCTTGCCTCACGTGGCTCTCCTAGCCCACGGTGCCTCCAGCCCACCCTCACCCCCACCCGTGATGCCTCTCACCGATCTCCACCTGCTGCGTCCTCCCATGTTCAAGATCTTGCCGCTTCAGTCCTACCTCCTTGTGAATTCACGTCTCCCCTTGCCAGGGGCTTTGTGTGTCTGCTGCAACATTCACCCAGGCTATGTGATGTAGGTGCTCTTTGGAGCAGCAGCTAGCTCCTTCCCTGGGTGGAAGGTGGGGTGCTGGAGGTGGGCTGTGTCTCATCAACTTTGGCATCTCCCAGGGCCGGAGGGTAGGAGGAGGGGCCGAGCAAGAGGGAGGGTACCTGTACGTGCAGCTCATACACCTCTCTCCTGAGCTGGGCAGGGCTCTGCATGACTGAGATGACTCCAGACGTCTCATTAATTTCAAAGGCTCCATCACTCCCTGTCAAGGGGGAAAGACGTGCCCTACAGTTCCACACACGGCCATGGGAGGCGCAGGGGGGCCAGGCCAGGCAGGCTGCCCCACGCTCCTCAGGTGTTCGTTCCCTCATTGAGGTCTGTATAAAATGTAATTCTGTCAGCTGGATCTTGCCAATGAGGAAACTGAGTTTCAGAAGGGCTAAGTCATTTGTCCAAGATTTCACAGCACGTGTAGAGTTGGGACTTAAACTCACTTCTGAGTCTGGCTTTCAGGTTTCATAGAACTGGCTTCTCTTACTGCCGTGTGTATGCATGTGAGTGTGTGCGCACATGCGTGTGTGTGTGACAGCAACAGAAAAGGAACAGACACAGAGATAAGGAGACAAGGAGGGAGAGAGAGAGGAGACAAAGGAAAGGAGGGAAGAAAGAGGCCAGAGGCTGCAAGAGAAGAACAGAGGAGGGAGAGGAGAGAAGAGATGGGGATGGTAGGTGCTGGGTAATTGTGGGAAGGCTGCAGAGGTGGAGGGCAGGGACGGGGAGCAATGGGGTGGGGGTGGGGTCTGGGAGGGGGGTGTCTGTGTGCCTGAGGAAAGGAGCCCGCAAGTGATGGGGGCACATTCACACATACGTGAGCTGTTGGAGGGAGAGTATGTACCAGGCATATCCCAGGGATAGGGTCAGGGAGGGGAAGGGTCTGAGTGAGAGGACAGAGACATGTGCACATCTGTGATCAGACACCAAGCGTGACCGTCCCACTGAGGGGACTGGGCCTGTGGGGACTGGCTACTGAGGGCCACAGAACCCACCCACCCGGGGCACCATGACCCGCTCAGTTGCTGCTCAGTTATGCAAAGAAGAGTCTTGGAGACAGAAGACTTAGGTTCAAATCAAATGGGAATGTGGGATGCCCCTTTAGCTTCTCTGAGCCTCAGTTTTCTTGTCCATATATAGAGCTAACGGTAGGAAATGTCCTATCATCGTTGCATTTAATTCTCTTAATTCAACTATATGCTCTAGGCCAGAAATGTGAAAAAATGAGAGGGGTAACTGGGTGGCTTGGTCAGTTAAGCATCTGCCTCTTGGTTTTGGCTCAGGTCGTGATCTTAGGGTCATAGGATCAAGGCCCATGTCAGGCTCTGTGCTGGGAGTAGAGCCTGCTTAGGATTCTCTCTCCCTCTGCTCCTTCCCCTTCTAAAAAAAAAAAAAAAAGAATGAGGGGGAAAAAAAACCAGTAATTTTAAAAAGTGTAAGAAATGTGGCCACTCCTCTTGTTAATCAGCGTGTGCCCAGGGTGAAGGGACATGAGTTGGAGCCACCCACATTGTTTTTGATGCCCCCCCCCATGCTTCTCTCCCTGTTGCTGGACATAGTGACAAACAGGAGCACATGCCCAAGAGACTTGTCACCTCCTGGAGGGACCCAGACCCCCCACCCAATACATCTTGTACTTCTGACTTTACAAATGAGGAAACTGGGACCCAGAGAGATCTGGGTAGGTCACTCTGGTCACCCAGGAAGTAGGAGCTGTAGTCCAGCGATGGGCCTGTCCTCAAAGTTGCCCAGACTTACCATTCAAGAGGCTGTAGACAATTTGGTTGGGTTTGCCTCGATCTCCATCCATGGCAACCACCATCAGTACCTCTGAGCCCTTTGGGGGAACAGAAGCAGCTGCCTGAGGCCAACCGGTATGGCTGGGGCTCCCCCCCCATATACTTGCCCCTGTCAGAGGGGAGGTGCTCCTGCCACCCAAGAAAAGGGCCAGGCCTCTGTGGGGCCCCACACCAGTTCTACAGGGAGATCGGAGCACCCACTGGCTCCCAGGGCTAGAGGGACAGCCTGAGCCCTGCTTCTCCTCACCACATAGGTTAGCACATGGCCACCCAGCGACATTCAGGCCCCCCAAGTAGGCCTCTTCCTAACAACCCTCCTTTCCTACACATTCAGCTCTGGCCTCTACTATCCAGCTCTCAGGCCTCACCCTTGCTGCCTCATCCACCTTTTGCCTTTGGAGGTAGATAGAGGGAGAGTCAGAGACAGGTGAGAGAGGGGCTGGCCACAGTAGGGTCCGATGAAAAGTCCAGGTACTAGGATGTTTTGCTGGGGCCCCGGTTGGGGTGCTATTCAAAGGGTTTGGTCAGGGATGGCACAACTAACAAGCCTGCTCCACCTCAGCCTGCCGCCCCCTTCTAAGCCCTCTGCTCAGGCCCTTCTCCTCTGCCTGTCCACACTCATGGCTGCCTCTTGACTGTCCCCATGCTGCCTGCTCTCCCTCAGCAATGCTTTCTACCCTTAGCTCCTGGCAGGACAGCTGGCCTCCCTCGGCCCTGCCTTTGGCCCCCACCAGAGGAACCCGCCATTTCTCCCTAACTCTGCACTCATCTTTACCACTCAGCTGCCAGCTTCTGGACAAGTGGTACCTTAGCTTGGGCCCAGCATGTGAGCGGTCCTCAGAAAGTGCTTTCATTATCTCCTCAAGTCTACAATCATCAGACCAGCAAAAGGAAAAGTGACAACGCGGTTCGGTTCTACAGAATCTTTGGGAAGTTTGGTTTCAGCCTGGTCTCTGCCTCCAGGGAGCTCTCAGTCTGTCTGAGGTGAGGACATGTAAATACATGGATGTATCCCAAGGTGGGATGGGGAGAGTGTGGGAGCAGAGAAGAGAGCTCCCATCTCAGCCGAAGATGTCAAGGAAAACAGTGCCTGGGGTGACCTGAGAAGGGCAAGGAGCCTCAGGCCCAGGGGCACATTTTAGGCAGAGGCTAAAGGCACAGCAGGGAGATTGGCTGGGTGCTTGGAGGCTGAGGACTCAGGGGTAGAGGGGAGGCCGGCCCTTAGATGCCAGGGTTGGGGGCAGGACATTCCCTGAGAGGCCTGAAGACAAGCATAGTCACCAAAACATCAGGGACAAAGACTGCACTGAGGGGTCGGAAGCTGAGGCTGGCCTTGCAACTGGGCCTTCAGGACAACCACTGGTCTGAGCGACCCCAGGCTATGAGGCTTGGAGCTAGGGAGGCATAAAGGAATCTCACCCGCCTTGCCAGCACATGGTGTAGAAAAGGCCCCACCCAAACCAAGGCAATGGGCCACCTGCCAGCCCCTCTTCTCAGCCCTTTTGAGGGGTAGAACATCAGCAGCTGGATTAGAGTAAGTTTGAATGAGGGAAGAAATGCCTGTCACAGTCTTGGCACCCAGCAGACGCTCCACACACCAGCACCTGCTTCCTCTCCCTTCCACTCCCACTGGCAAAAGGACATGCACCTGGGCTGAGCCTGGGCCCGTCCAGAGCCAGCCATGTGAGCCAAGCCACAGGGGATCCTCGGGCAGTGCTGTCTGGAGGGGACACTGGGCTGAGGGGCCAGCCACCCACCGGAAGGGTGTCCTCATACACATAGCCATAGTAGGGTGTGCCCACGAAGACAGGGGGCATGTCCTGCACGTCCTCCACATTGACTGTGACTGTAGTGGTGGTGGAGAATACCACGTTGGCCCCTCGCAGCCTCCCTCCGCCATCCTGGGAGAGAACCAGAGAGTGAAAAGAAGTTGGGCCCTGGATGGCCCCCGGTGGCATCTGGCTTCTGCCACTTCCTGGCCTCAAGACCAGCTTCCCTCTCTGATTTCTGTCTGCTCCTGTGTCACCTGGAGATCAATTCCTCCTCGAAGAGGTTACTGAAATGAGCTGATGCATGGAGGTCTTTAGTCAGCGCCTGGTAGGCCCTAGGCACTCAAGTGTTCCTTTGGGAAAAAGAGTGAGTTCATTCTCCTGGGAAATTATGTTGGACAAATGGCAGAGGAGGAGGGGTCAGGGCCAAACTCCCCTTCCTGCCAGGAGCCAAGCCTCCAACTCCTGAGAACCTATTAAGAGCACAACAGGGGCCCATATGATGTAGGTGTGTGCCCAGGAAGCCCAGCCCTCGAGGAGCTTTGGGCAGCTGCTACGGGCTGCAGAGGGATGGCCTGCAGCCATACGTGACCAGCAAGAGCCTTCCTGTTCCTGGAAGAGACATTGTTGAGCCCAGAGGGACAGCTGGGCCTTCCCCCACTCAGGGGACAGAGCGCCACCTTGGCAGAGCACCCGCTGACTTGCGGCTCCTGCTCCCTGCCCTTTAGAAATCTGAGGAACTGCTTAGCCTCAGGGGTGGGCAGATAAGAAACCCGAGGTGCAGAGAGGGTCATTGATCACCCAGAGAGGGTGAGGTGAGCAAGCCCAGGCAGAGAGAGGGAAGCTCCTAGAGACCAGGCTGTGGGGGGATGGAGGGGGCCCGGGTCTCTAAGCCATGGCCACCTGGTCCTCAGGAGGGGAACCTGGCCTGTCACGGGATGTACACCATCTTCAAGAACAGAATATACCCTCTCCAGCCCCCACACTCCAGCCTCCCTGGAGACTATGTCCATGTCCAGGCAGGGTCCACATCAACAGAGGTTCTGAGCAGCCACACCCCCCGACCCCTGCTGCCATCATACCTTCAGCCCTCCAAAACGCCTCCACTCCCTTGCAGAACCGAACTCTGTTCCAGTCCCCGGGCTGCTTCCCTTGATAAAGGCTGAAGAAAGACCAGAGGCTCCCAGTGCCTCCCTCTCTGTTACCTTGGCAACCACGGTGACAAAATGGGCCCGGGCCTTCTCGTAGTCCAGGGTGGCCCCAGCCTGGAGGCGCAGCACGCCGCTGTGGTGGTCCAGGGCGAATTTGGTGGCGTGCACATTCTGTAAGAATGAGGGGCACGCTAGTCCTCGGAGGGGCACCCAGGCTGGCCCAGGAATAGCTGCTTTGCTTCTGACGGGGTCTTCACTGTCCTCTGTCACAGGAACGCTGGCCTTGCTGGCCCTGAAGGTCCCCCTCCCGTCCCTCAACATGCTCCCGGCAGGGCCCTAGCCTTCTCGATGCCCAGCTTCCAGCTCAGCTCTGGCCTGGACTTTCCAGCAGGTAGACATGGCAGCAGAGTGCTCTAACCTAGAGAGTGTCAGGGCTCAGAAGCCACAGTGGTGGAGACAAGCTTCAGGATCATGAACCTCAACAAGGAAGGGCCTAGGGGCCAGTCACAGGCAGCCTGGGGGATGGTGGAGGATGGGTGGGGACAGGAGGTGATCCTCAAGCTGGAAAAGGGCTACTGTGTGTCACGAGCTGTTATTGGAGCTGCATGTGTATTTAATCCCCACAAGAACCTGTGAGGATGGGCTTGTGCCTTTCGGGTTCTGCACATGAGGAGGGAGAGCTGGGAGAGCTAGATGAGGGGGTGAAGGCCCCCCCAGGAGGGGGCGGCATCTTTTCCAGGGGATTTCTCCAGGAGCCTTGTTGTCAGCCACCGGGCTGTACCGCCCTGACAGTTGTGAGAGCCAGGGACTAACCCTGGGGGGAGCTGAGGAGCGGCCCCAGGAACAGCAGCTGTGAGAGGTGTGGCTGGTTCCTGCGGAGCCCAGGGAGGAGGACAGGGAGGAGGACGAGGTGCGGGAAGGGGTCTTTGCCTTTGACAGGGTTGGGGGAATGGAAAGGTGTGGGGTGGGGGTGTCATCACTCTGTTCCTCCTGACAGATCCCCTTTTCGCCCTTTTTCCTCTCCTCAGTTCTAGGCCAGGCAGGTTTTTTTTTTTTTTCCCCACCCTGTGTGGGTGTAATGTGCCCAGACCTCTCCTGGGGAAGGGGTTGTGGGTAGAGAGCTGAGGGTCCTGGGGATCCAGGGAGAGGGTGGCAGGGAACGCAGACGGAGCCAGGATGGGCCGGTTAGGGGAAGACGGCTTCCACCCACACTCCTCTCATCTCCCCACCAGCCCAGCCCAGCCCTGGGAAGCTGATGTGACATTTCTGACAATCTTTGGGAAGAGTGGAGGTGCTGACTAAGAGCCTTGCCAATGGAGGTGGTGGCGGCCATCCAGGTGTCCCTTCTAGCCCGGGCCTCTGGTAATGAACAGTGTGCCCTCCTTACCTGCAAGAAGTAGGTGACACTCCCTCCAGAGCCTGTGTCCTTGTCCACCGCATGCACCTTCATGATACTGCTCCCAGTAGGTAAGTCCTGAGGGGTCACAGCCATGGGGGTGGGGGAGGGGTCAGTCCCAGGGCAGTGACAGAATGCTCAGGGGACTGGGGGGAAAGGAGCCATAGAAAGATGGAGTCAGGGAGTGAAGGACTAAATAGAGGTGAAGAGGGGAGGATTACCCAGGGAACCCCGCTGGGGAAGAGGAAGCCAAAGTCAGAGTAGGTGAGTGGGTGCAGGGATGAAGGAAGGGGAAAGAAAGGTGGGAACAGACATCCTCTCAAAATAAGACTCCAGTTAGACAAAGAGTTTAAACATGAAGTGCGGAAATGGTTAATAGACATTCCACATTACCAGGGATCGCGTACATACCATTTAGAGCCCAAATGAAGTATCTTCCTCTTACTGAATTAGCAAATATTAAAAAAACCGAGAATCCCCAGTGTTGGGGAGGGATGGGGAGACACACCTGAGGGGAGAGAGCCAGCACGCGCTGCTCTGGTAACTCACGCTTTCAACCTCGGCATTTCACATCTTGGACCATTTCTTAAGGAAATGATTCTAATTAGCTATTTGGAAGTTTTATGTTGATGTTTGACGTCCAGAATTTGATCTTTCTTATGACAGCAAAAATCTAAAGCATCTTAAACATCCAGATGTAAAGGACTCATCTAGTCAATGATGGACTATGCACTAAGTGGAAACGATTAAGACGACAGTTACCTAAACTTCACAATTACTGAGGAAATGCTTATGTTGTGAAATTAAGTGAAAAATAGCATACAGAAAGCATATGTTTAGTATTGTCACAGTTATGTAAATAAAACAAACAAAATAAATCCAGTAATCCCAAAATGACTAGAGAGAACAACACCAAAATTTGACAATATTGTCTCAGGCTGGAGAAATTTGTTTTTTTCTACTTTTCTATATATTCAAATTTCCACAATAAACATATATTATAACAGAAAACGGGAAATGGACATTCCTGTGGATAAAAACGAATGTGTGAGGGGATGACAACAGAGGTGAGGGGAGGACATGAAGTGGGGGTTCTCCGGAGGGTGGAGGGCAGTTAGGATGAGGAGGTGTTCATCACTCTGGGGCTGGTCCCCTGGGGGCAGGTCACAGGGCAGCCCAGAGGGAAGGCTGGGCTGAGTCTGGGGATGGAGCGCATCGGCTCTGCCTAGAGGCCTCTTGCTCACCTCAGGAACCTGGACAACATAGGGCTCCTCAATGAAACTGGGGGCCTCATCATTGGCATCGGTCACCAGGATCGTGACTTTTTCTTTCACCTGAGAAGGGGCAAAGGGAACAGGAGTTGGGGCAGTGAGACTTTCTGGGCAATAAAGGGACAGTGGCCTCTAATAGCCCAGGTGTATGTCTCTGCCCCAACTCCCTCTCTTCCTTCCTTCCTTCCTTCCTTCCTTCCTTCCTTCCTTCCTTCCTTCTTTCCTTCCTTCCTTCCTTCCTTTCTTCTTTTCTTCATTCATGCAACAAATACTACGAAGCAACCACTAGGTACGAACACTGCCCTCCATCCCAGAGACAGAAGGCACAGTCTGATGGTGCGTGTTTTACAGAATGGGACAGCAGGGCAAGATCCCCGTATAAAAGAAAGGTGGTGATCTCACTCAGGGTGCTAACAGGGTCATGCCAGGCACTGTGGGCAGCCCCCTGTGCTATCTGACTCTGGGGGCACGATGGCCCAGGTAAATGCTCCCCTTGGGTTTGTGGGCACATGGTCTAAGAGGCTGTCTCCAGAGGCCCCGAGAAGAGGCATCTAGTCCAGCCAGTGGTGGGGACAGCAGGGAGGCTTCACAGAGGAGTGAGATTTAAGCTCCTCAGCAGGTGAGAGGGAAAGAGGTGGAAAGATATGCCCGGAAGAAGGAACAGCATGTGCAAAGGCAAGAGGAGTGGCATGTATGATGAGTTCAGAGAACATAAGCAGATTTGGGGCTAGATGTTCGGGAGGGTGAACGTGAGAGGGAAGGTGGGTGAGGCAGATAGTGCTGGATGGGGAGGCTCTGAGGGCTAGACTGGGGCGTGGACCACATCCTGAGGGCAGTGGGGACTTGCTGTGAGTGCTTCTGCAGCCAAGCTGTGGCCAGGCCTAAAGTTTCATGGTGATGGCTCTGGCTGAACTTCAGAGATGGACTGGGGTCAGGTAGCCTGGAAGCTGGGGAACCCCTGCGATCACCCCGGCAAGCACTGATGAGGGCTGGATGGGAGTGCTGTCTGTGGGGGAGGCGGTGAAGGAGCAGCTAGGTCTGGGGCCCCAGGCATTCATCTTGGGTGGCTGGGCAGGAGCTGGTTGGAGGAGGCAGATGGGAAAACATCCTCACTGGCCTCCCCTGGTGCAGCCCTGTCCTGTGGGCACGTTGGAGGGCCTCAGCTTGGATTTACTAGAGAGCCCCTAGGAGGGAGGAGAAGCTGTGGGCAAGTCTAGGGAGCAGGTGCCGCCAGGAGGCTGGCTCAGGGGCACACTTACCAGATTCACGCCATCGGAAATGCTGATGATGGCTTCAATCTCATCCTCCCTCTGTAAAGTATAAGGCTCCAGTGAGTGGGAGTCTGATGTACCTGGGGATCCTGAGGTGGGGGAGGACTCTCCCTGCCCCCACTGAGCCCACCAGAGCAGACCTGGGCATGTCAAGGGAGCCCTGGTGCAAGGCAGGTGACCAAAATCTGTCTCTGGCCATGTTTGAGACCTTGTTTTGGGTCTTGGCACATCAGGGGTTCTCATAAACCCACAGTAGTACTGAGGCACCGAGAGAGAATGTTCCCCTGCTAGAATGAGGACATATGCTAACCCAGTATGCTGGACATCCCAGCGAGCTGGACTTTTCCCCTTTTTTCTTCTTTCCCCTCTCTTCCTCCCCATCCTCCCCATCTCTCCCACACCTCTCTGTGTTCCATGGTCCAGGTCTGCAGTGTCTCAAGCACTCCCTAGCCCATGGTGGGACCCCAGCGAGGAAGGGTATTGAGGTCAGCAGGCCCCCAGGGGTGCAGGGGAGAGGTGCATGGTGATAACTTCCCCCTCATGGTCCCTACAGAAGCCTCTGAGACCCAACTTTCTTTTCTCCACCGTGGCCTGCAGCAGGGTAAGTCGGCTGTCTGACCAGAGCTGGCAGTAAGCCCATGGTGTAGGTCCAGTTATGGGGTCCATGAGGCCCAACATCCTGGTGTGGGGCTCAAAAAAGAAATGTAGCTCAGGCCCCAGCACCCCTAGGTTCAGAAAGGTGCAGAGGGATAGAGGGGGTGGAGGTTTACCAAACTCAGACCCACTCTCTAAAACCACTCCTTCCCAGGCTGCCTCAGTCAGTAGAACATGCGACTCCTGATCCGGGGGTTATAAGTTCGGGTCCCGTGTTGGGCATAGAGGTTACATATTAAAAAAAAAAAAAAAAAGGTACTCTTTCCAGTCCTGATCTGCTGTCAGTTTTCTGTGGCTTACAGGACCTCTCCAGGGACGACCTCCAGGGAAACTTCCAGCCCACAGAGGTTTGTCTGCACACCTGAGAGATAGTACGTCTCACACCTCTCCATACCTCTCTGTCCAGCTCTTCAACCAAGGTGATGTTTCCAAAATTGGGATCAACAGAAAAGACACTTCTAGCACTGGGGTCAAAGCTGATGTGGTAGGAGACAGGGTATCCCTCGGGATCTGTCCCATTTAGAGTATAAACATGAGAACCTGGAAGGAGATACAGAAGGGGAGACTAGAATCTGGGACCCAAAATTCCTAAAAGTGGCATCTATTCAGACGAAGGATTCGGCTGTTTCTAAGGCAGGTATTCAATCCAGTGCTAAAGGTCCTGAGCCGAAGCGGGCCTTGGCTACTGGCTCACCCCCACAGGCTGCTTCCTACCCCCCACCTTTATTCTTTACAACTGTCAGGGAGATGTTAGTGTCAGTCCCTGTACAGACTGTAAGCCATAATACAGGATGACAGAGGAGCTTCAGGGCTGCTGTACCTAACCCCAGGGCTTCTTCCAGTCCCAGGAGCCAAGACTGGGGTTCCCTGGTATGGGGGATGGGAGAAAAGGGAAGAGCCATTAAGATAGGAGGGGTGCCCCAGGGTGCAGCGTTATGCTTCCATGTCTGAATTAGTTCTTTGGGGATTTCTAAGTAGATGCATTTCTTACACTGCTATCCTTCTGCTCAGTGTTCCCAACCCAGACAGAGGGAAAGGGAAGAAGGGAGAACCTCTTCTTTCCTCCTTCCCCCTTTCTTATGCATATCCCAGCAAGTTGGACTTTCTTGGGTCTGTTTAAAGCCTAAAGATCCCGAGCTCTGAAGCTCCAGGAGGTAAGTATATTTGCTCAAGGTCACAACAGTGAGTAAGGGGCGGTGCTGTGGCAAAGCTTTGGGGTTCTCATCAAGCTGCCACCTGCTGTCTGCTGTCTAGGGTGGCCCTGTCTCGGCCCTGCAGCCGCAGCTGGGTCTCCAGGACTGGCCTGGCTTAGGTCTCCATGACAGCCGTGACCTCCTTTCCTGCAACTGCCCTGGGGAACTCAGAGCACAAACAGGGCACCCCAGAGGGCCCACAGCCTGGCACTGGGTGTCTCCATAGGCTCAGAGGAGTCACGGGTTCAGTCCTTGTGTCCAGGGGAATGAGGGCCACCCTCCGAGAAACCAATAGAGGGCGGGTGCCAGGGGTACTCACCTACAGGGGTGTCCTCCGGAAGGCTGAACAGGGCCATGTTTCCGTTGGTGCTGCCCACCCCGTTGTCGAAGAAGTGAGGGGCAAAATTGGCCTGGGCTAGGAAGAGAACAGGCAGGAGAACAGACACAGGGAGGGACAGCTTCACACCTGCGTGGTCCCAGTCTGGCCAGGCTGGGAGTCCCCTCCCCAACCCCCTGCACACCGTCAGACTGGGCTGGGAGCTGCGAAGGGGTCCCTCCACCACCACCTCCTGCAGGCCCAGACTCCGCTCAGGCTTGTCAGGGACGCGCACCATCTGGGGCACTTAGAACCCAGGCAGTGGCCAATCTCAACCCACCAATGGACAGACCTGGAACCCCGCGCCCAGAGAGGGACAGTGCCCTGGCCAAGGTCACACTGGGAGTTGGGGCACCCTCCTCTGCCCCAGCAGCCTTCAAAGCAATCACCACACCTCCCTTCTGAAGAAGACAAGGGCAGCAGATGATCCTGGCTCCAAATCGGGGTGTCTCCAGGGTAGCCACCGAGCCCGGCAGGTGGAAGGATAGCCCCACCCTGCCGCGCGTCCCGTCTCCCCGCCCGAGTCCCACCGTGGAAATGAGCGGCCAGGGCTCTCCCTCGGCGCCCACTCGGGCAGTGCCCGCACCCGCGCTTAGCTCGGACCCCGCGCTCGGGGGCCCGCGGCCACTCACCCAGGCAGAGGCGCAGCAGCCCCAGGGCGAGGGCGGCCCCCGGGCTGCGCCTCATGTCTCCGCGGGCGGACAGAGTGGTTCGCCGCAGCCGGGCCGGGCGCAGGAGAGCGGAGCATGCCCCGGGCAGCGCGGAGTGCAGAGCCGAGAGTGAGAGCGGCGGCGGCGGGAGGGGCGCGGGGCGGGGGCACTGGGTGGCGCGAGGGCGCTAAGCGGATGACACCGCTCGGATCCGCGCCGCTGGAGCGCTCCCGCTGGCTGTCAGAAGAGACCAATTAGTGAGCGCGGAGGTGAGGGGACCGGCTCCCAGCAGCGGGCGGAGCCGGGAGGGGTGGTGGCGAACTCCTCTCCCTACCACGCCCCCTTCGCCCAGGTCTGGAGCGCAGGCGCTGAGGGGTCCCCAGCTCCGCAGCGGGGAGGAGCGGGGAACAAGGGGGGACGGAGACGGTGTCTTCCCCTAGATGGCCCTGAGCAGGACACTGGAAAATCGGCGCTTCTTGGGGCTCCGCTGGAGGTTTCCCTTTTTATGAACTTCCACTGTGACTTTGAGGGAATTTGGCACTCTGAGCCTGATCATTCCGGGCTGTAAAAGGGCGGTAGGCAGGAAACAGACCTGCCTGAGACTGGAGGGGTCCCTCCCGGGAGGAAGAATGCGCAGAAGCGGGTGGATTGGCCGGGCCGGAGTGGCGCGTGCCCTCCAGGGCAAACAGATTCCAGGGATAGTGCCTCTGGCTTGGAGTGGGGGCTGAGATCAAAAGACAAAGAGGAGGGTTAGGAGAGGAGCAAATGGGGAGGGGTATCAGGCCCACCTCACTGGGATCCCCACTCTTTCCTGTCCTAACCTCCAGGCCCTGGATAGCTAATGTGGTCACTAGTGAGGGTCCACATATGTGGTGGGCATCAGGGAGGGTGTTCAAGTCACCGCTAAGGTGGGAGGTGAAAGTTACCAGGTAGCACACTGGCCTCACTCCCTATCCCCAGGGTCCAGTGGGTGCTGATGGAGAAGTAGCAGACCCACTCAAGCCTTGTAAGGAAGGATGAATGGCTTGAAGGCAGAATCAAGCCCCTCCCTGGGACCCACTTGCCAACAGAGCTGGCCAGCACAGGTATGGACTGCCCCGAGATGGGTGAGCTCCCCATCCCCGAGGGCATTTAGTCAAAGCAAGGTGCTGCTATGGGGGCCCCCGGACACTGAAAAGAAGGAGAAGCAGGTAAGCTCAGGAACCTTCCTGGTTGGTGGTAGCTTTTCCCTGGGCTGGGCACTCATTCTCTCACTCTGATATTGGAGTTTGGTTGGAGAAGCGGCCTGGTCTCTTCTACTCAGAGGAGGCACAGGGAGGTCACTTTAGGCCCAAACCTGGCCACTTCCCAGGATGGTCTTGGAAGGGTGTGTCCGCAGACAGAGGAAACACCTTTGGGTGCTTCCTGAAGAGGCCTCCACTGCTGGGGTCTTGGTATTCCTCCCCAGGGCCCTTCATCAGAGTAGAACATCACCCATCCCCCTGGGCCAACCCTCCTTGATCTACTGTTGGCAAGAGTTAGGGATTCAGAACAAGGAGATGAATCAGTAATCCCAGAGTGTTGGGCAATTTTCAGGCCCAGTTAACCAGAACCCTTCTTGAATCTCCATGGGTTTGGCCCTTTGGCTGGAAAATGCACTGTATTTTTTTTAACAATTTTTAAAAAATGCACTGTATTTTATTTATTTGAGAGAGAGTGTGCATGTGTAAGTGAGCTGGGGGAGAAAAAGAGAGAGGGAGAGGAGCAAACTCCCCACTGAGCATGGAGCTACTATGTGAGATCATGACTCGAGCTTAAACCAAGAGTCAGATGCTTAACCAATAGAGCCACCCACATGACCCTGGAAAATGCACTTTAAATTGCACAGACATTTCTGCATCTTTTGGTCACAAAATACTGGGACAAGGCCAAGGCAAGCTTTCACAAGTCTGCATAGAGATGAGGAGATTGGGGCTTTCTCTCAGTGACCCAGTGGGCCAGAGGCAGAGCAAGTGTGCCTGGGGCCAACATCTTGCCCATGTGCTGAGCAAAGCAGCTTTCTCTGTGGCCTGTCTGCCTCCTTCATCATCACTTGTTTCTGGTGCCTTGACTTCTCTGGCCTCAGTTCACTCAGTCAGCAGACTTGCACTAGAGAGGGATAGCAAAGGCACAGTCCCATGCTCTGTGTGAGTGTGTGTGTGTGTGTGTGTGTGTGTGTGTGGTCACCCATATTATCTCCTGTAACCAGTATGACCTCTTCTGATGCAATTGTCCCTGCTTTGGAAAGGAAGAAGTAAAGCACAGAGAGGGTAAGTCACTTGCCCAGTTTCACACCGCCGGTGAGGGACAGAGCCTAGAATCACATCCAGTTTGGGCCGGCTCCAAAAATAGTTGAAACTTTCCATGATAGAGGGAGATGACCCTGAAGCTACTGAAGCTTCAGCTCTGGGGCCCCCGGTTCACACATCTCTTCCATAGTCTACCTCTACTTGTGGTTTGCATCTATTTTTTTTCCTTAAAGAGGCCACCTCCCCTTTCAATTGTATAGGCTCAGATCTGCGAGAAGGACTAGCTGTCCTGGTTTGCCTGGGACTGAGGGGGTTTCCAGGGATGTGGGACATTCAGTGCTCAAATTAGGAAGGTCTGGGGTAAACCGGCACAAGCTGGTCTCTACAGATCGATCCCTGTCCACAGAACATTTGAGAACCTGGGAGAATAGCAGTAATTCATGGAGATTCTCATCATGGACCCTGGTCTTGACCTTTAGTGCAGAGGAGTGAGAGGCTCTGTGGAGGACTCAGTGTGTCATAGCTGGGAAGGGCTTGCCTGCTGTGAGACACACGGCTTGGCTCTCACCTGCCGATCCTGGGCAGCCTTGGACACGTTACCTTGTCCTCCACGTGTCTATTACCCTGGCAGGGTGCTGAGCTCCCTCTCTACAGGGCCTACTAGCTAAGGCAGCAAATCAATTTCACCTCTTGGTCCTGTCCTGACAGCATTTCCTCAGGTAGATTTACAATAGCTGGTCCAGCTGTCAGTAAGTGGGAATTCAAGTGTTAGTTGCCAGCCTGGGCATGGGAGTGTGTGCTTCCTCTAGCTGCCAACACACCAACCCAGGCTCTTACAGCCTCTTTGCCCCCATATGACCTACCTGAATGTGCTAAACCATGGAGCCTTGCTCCCTTGTGCCCACACTCGGACAGCTGCCCAACTTGTCCCAGCCCAGGTGAGGTCCTGACAACTGTCCTCTGTGGTTGTGGATCAGGGTGTACCCACCTGGCTGGAAGATGGTAATCTTTTGCCATAGCAGTGGGCTCTGGGGTTAGTAGCTGAGGGGTCTGAGAGCCTGGGACATCATCTACTCAGAAATGTGGCCTTCCCTGTCCCCTTGCTCTGTCCAGGCCAGGTGTAGGGTGGTTGTCTCCATTTTCTCTAGCATGTAGATGGGATTCTTCCCCTAACTGTCTAAGGTGCTGCCTGCCCCCCTAACTGAGGTACTAGGCAGGAGTCTGGGGCTGCCACCTGTTCCCCAGTACCCATCTCATTGGTACTAGTACCCACTGGTTCGGACTCCTGGGTTGTAATGCTGGCTCTTGGTCACTGACACTCACACACATGGGCAGAAGCTCCATCCTGATGTCACCTGTCTTCACGCCACATTACTCTCCTCTGCCATCCAGCCTGCCTCCTGGTTAAGTCTAGGTAGGGACACAGCAAAGAATGTCTTCTCCTCTAGAAGAGTTTTTCCCTCTGGCATCTTCTGCCCCCAAGAGGAATTGGTCCCTACTTGGGACATTGACAGGGTCTTTAAAAAAACTTTAGTGTTGTAATCTGTCTGCTTTGTTATCTCCCACGGAGTGCTGTGAACCAGTTAGAGCAGAGACGGTGTCATGCGTAGGTTTCTTCAGCATCTGCACAGTTTGTCACATAGTAGGTCCTCAGTGGGTAGTTGTTGACCAGCTGAAGGAGTGACTGAGTAATGAATGCATGACAAGGTCCCTGATGACGTCATAACTCTTGCTTCTTGATCCTAGTCAGTAGCTAATCGTCTGCATGCCATTGACATGCTCCTTCCCCCTCCATCCATCCTTAAGTGGGTAGACTGCAGTAGGCACGGTAGGCACGAGCATCCACTGAATGCCTCCTGAGCCAGGCAGGAGGCTAGTGTGTGAAGAGGCTGAGGGACAGGCAGCAGAGAGTGCTGGAGACTGCCGCACAGGGATACGTGCTCACACCCACAGTGTCTCTGAACACTGAGTTGACGGGGCCCCTGGGTGGCTCAGCTGCTTGAGTGTCTGCCCTCGGCTCAGGTCACGATCCCAGAGCCCTGTGTCTGGTTGCTTGCTCAACAGGGAACCTGCTTCTTCCTCTCCATCTGTCACTCCCTCTGCTGCTCCCCCTGCTTTGTGCTCTCTTATTCTTGCTCTCTGTCAAATAAATAAACAAATAAATAAAATCTTTAAAAATAATAATAAACACTGAATTGAACAAGTGACATGGCTGCCTTTTGATGTTTAGAAGAACCTATTTTTCTGTTCTGCTTTCCCACCTTCTGGTTCACACTTTGCAACTCCTCAGGGGCAGTGCGGTTTGACAGATTAAACAACAGATGAGCCGAAGATCTTTTCCAGAGGCAGAGCTGTTGATAACAAGTCTGCCAGTTGCCTCTGGACCTGTCCACATGGTACAAAGCTGCTAGTCAACAGGCAAGGTCCAGCCACTGCTTGGGACAGCAGACTAGAAGCTTGGACACATTCCCACCCTAGAAGTTTTATGATGCTGTGGAGTCAGTCAGGGAAGTCACGTGGGGGGTCCCTCGTGACCATTAGCCAGTCGGGGTGTGGCCTCTGCCGTGCTCCAGAAGGTGGTCTGCCTTGCACAGTTTGCCCCCAAATCAGCTCGGAGCCGAGTCAGCAGAGCGGGTGAGCATGGAGGGCTGTGAAGGGCATGCGGTGAGCCAGGGAAGAGATCGGTCCAGGAGGACCCTATCCTGAATGGCGGTGGGGACGGGGCCGAGAGCTGGATTCTTGTAGTTTGGTGGAAGCAGGTCTGTGACCACCATTCAGCTTTTCTATTTCAGAGCCAGGCACTTCTTGTTTTCTTAGTCTCCCCAGCAGCCCTGTGTGACAGGGGGTCAGCTTCATTTTACAGGTGGGGAATCTGGGGCTCCAAGAGGACACCTGACCTGATGTCACCCAGTCGGCACCTGACAGGACCCTCATTTGAACCCACATCTGTGAAGCCTGTGCTCTGTCACCTATGTCATGTGTCCTCCGCAGCCAGGGGGTTGCCATGGGGACTGCACACTTTCCCTAGTGACACTAGTGCCAGCAGCCACTCTGTCTAGGTTCTTCAGGGAGTCAATTAAGGGCAAAATAAGAATTCGAGTTTTACAAATTCGAGTCACTTCTGGATGTTTGGAGTACTCATGGGATCCCCAGCAGTCTTTTTTTCTTTTTTAAGATTTTATTTATTTATCTGACAGATAGATCACAAGTAGTTAGAGCAGCAGGCAGAGAGAGGGGGAAGCAGGCTCTCCACCGAGCGGAGAACCCAACGCGGGGCTCGATTCCAGGACCCTGAGATCATGACCCGAGCTGAAGGCAGAGGCCCAACCCACTGAGCCCAGGCACCCCAGGATCTCCAGTAGTCTCAAATAACCTTATTCATCAGACGTTCCCCATAGACTCGATCTACCCTTCGAGAGTGACGTTCTTCATGGTGCAACTTCTGGAGGTGACATCCCACAGGGGAGAGAGTGGGAAGGAAAGGTTTTGGCCTTTGGCCAGCCTCCAGGTCTGCATGGGAATCTCTGCTTGGGAGAGGGTCTTACACTTTCCCTCACTTCCCAGAGGAAGAAGAGATGGGGAGTTGGAGGGCGGCAGGCAGGAGCAGGGCCCTCAGCTCCCTTTTGTGCCTCCCACTTTTGGCCTGGGCTGCTCTGAGGGGCTGGTGTCCCTGAAGGTCCTTGCCCATCCTACCTGGGGCTGGTCTCCCTGTAAGCCGGGGGCTCAGAGCTGCAGGTGCTGCATTCCTGCCCCACAGACACCCTCCTCCTTTCCCCAGTGGCTGGCTGTGTCCTCTTTTTATTTGTGTACACTAAGAAACTGGTCTTTCCTGCCGACAAGGACGCTGAGGCTCCTGGGGCTTGTGCTTTCTTGAGCATAAGGTTAGACTTCGCTCAGTGGTGGACACACAGCCTCTGAATTGTTCTTCCTGGCTGACTCTCAAGCACACATGTCTAGTTAGGTGTGAGTGTTTTCCTTACCTGTGTCTTGCACAGTGGGGGTGGGGTTGGTGGTGATGGAGAGGAGAGGGGAAGGACTGGGGACAAGGATGTGGAATAGTCAGCTGTCTCCCTGCTGGTAGCTGCGTGGTGACCCTTGTCAAGGGGGTTCCTGGTGAGGGTCTGTCCCAGCACAGGAATGTGCACCATGGGCCTGTGTCCACAGCCCACCCAGCTACCAAGTCTGTAAGGCCACTCCGCTGGTACGCAGAACCCTTTAATTCCTCTCCTCTGTGCCTTGCCGATGGCCCTGCCTTGGTTCTAGCTCATTCCATCTCCTCCTAATGGCCCTTTCTCTCTGCATTCCCTCCTGCTTGCAAATACGTCGGGCTCTTCATCGTCCTTAGGTTAAACTTCCAGCATCTAATGACAGTCTGGACGCCCCAGATGGAATTCTCTGCTTTCCCTTTGTCCCCTGATCCTGCTGTCCAGTTGCTGGGAATTCTCCTCACTCAAGTCTTCTGCCTGGCCTTGACTGCTCCCTTCTTCACCCTCTGCCCCACACAGGCACACGTACACACACACACACACACACACGCACACATGCACACATCTACACATGCTTGTACTTATGCACACACATCCCTTCTCCAGCTGGAACTCTCCCCTAACTCAACTCAAGCGTCAGGTCATCTTTTCCCTCCCTCTCTGGGCATGTCCCTCTGTTTCTGCCCCAGTGCTCACACCACAGTGCCTCTTAGCCCGCAAGGACCACATTGGTTCATGTCTGAGCCTCAGAACCTAGTGCTGTCTGACCATTGCCTACTGCGGGGATAGGTGAGTGGAATGAACCAGCCCATGGATGCAGCCTCCGAAATGGAAGTGAAAGGTTTGGCCGACGGCAAAGTAAGGGTTATGGCTGGCCCTGGGACTGCTGTCCCCAGAGCTCCGTGCCAGAGAACCTCTGCCCACCAGCCTTGCTCCTGGTGGGCCTGGCACTCACAGACTTGGCTATGGGGGAGGCATGGGGAGGGGTTTCTCACCTTGCCAGGAGAATCAGATAAGAAGGAAGCTTTACAGAGAGATAAGCCTCTTAGACCTGGGCCATCTGTTCCGTCTGAGTCACAGCTCCAGAGCCGGGGCTCATTGTGGGCAGAAGCTCAGCCCTGGGGGAGGGCAGGGAAGGCAGGGACTTCCTGAAGCTAGTCCTGTGTGCCAGCCCCTTTGTGGGCCCTTTACATTCATTTGTATGCGGGAGCCTCCTGTCAGCCCTCCAAATGGGTCCTGGGCTCTGCAGTTTACAGAAAAAGGAACTGACTTGCCCAGGTCACACAGAAAATCCTGGACAGGACTGGGATTTGAGTCCTGTTGTGTCAGACCAAGACCTTTGCCATTGTTAGTAGTGCCACTCCCCCTTTTCAGAGTTAGATTTTGCTGTGATGAAGGGGTGGCCTGCAGGAGAGGTTTCGGGGGACGGGTCTCCTCTAGCAGAAAGCTGTGGCTCAGGCCCCATTGTTGACTTTCTCAAACTGGGATGTGCCATGGGTTTTATGCATTTATTTATTATTTGTGAGCTTTGGTGTTCTTTCCAGCAGACTCACATCAGGAAGTTAGGAAGGGTTTCCTCCAGGGGCCATCGGGTGTGGGATGGATAAAGGCTATGCATATCTCAGGACGTCGGAGCCTCTGCAGACTTGGCCTCTGCTCTTGCGGGCCTGTTACCCTGCACCCTAGCAGGCTCTAAATTGTCTGGATCTGCAGCTGCTCCACGTCACAGTGGAATCTTGACCGTCCACACTGGAGGGGCCAGGTGGGGACTCAGACCAGGTGGGCTGGACCTGAATAGCTCTTAAAGTTGGTGGCACAACTGGGACTGGCCTCTGGGAATTCCAGAACTTTCTCAGGGCCCTTCCTGCCCAAGGTGAATCCCTCCAACTCCCAGCTCACTGCTATGAAGGTTGAAAAGGGTAGTGAAACCCACTGATGCCGGTGACTGAAGGGTCTTCCCTGGAGGGTTTTTTTTCTCTCTGAACTTTACAAGCCAGCATGAACCTAGAGAAGCTAACTTACTTGTTCAAGGTCCCACAGCAAGACAGGCATTCCAGAGTTTTGACCTTAGTATTCATGTTGTGGTTTTCAGAAAATTCTGGTTTAGGTTTTTCTAAAAGGCATTATGAGTACAGTCTAACACGGCAGGCAAGAAATGTTGTGTCTTTAAGAGAAGAGGTTCGTGGTTCATGGGCAGAAACTTCCATGGGCCAAAGCTCTTGACATTTTTGCCATCAGCCCCAGCTTCAAAAGGAGCATCCTGGGAGAACCCGAGACTTCTGGATGTCTCGGGCACTGGGCATGAGGGTCTCAGCAGCATGCAGCCTTGTCTGGGGAGCATTACACTTGCGGAAGAGCCCCAGGTACCACCCAAAGCCGGGACTCTGGCTTGAAGTTACACAGTCTGCAGATCCTCACACGGCGACCTGGGAAGGTGGTGGTGCAGACAAGATAAGAGCCAGAGAGGCAGGCAGAATTGGGGTGGAGAAAGGAGACAACACAAGCAAGGTTCATTTCTAGGCACAAAGAGTTTTTAAAAATCAAGGCAAGAAGGTTATCTCCTTCCCGGAGGCCCAGAAGGGATCTTTCATGGCAAATATGACTGGTTCAGTTTATTTTAGTAGCATCAGCAAGAAATCTGATTTACCGGCAGAAGATGGAGAGAAGGCGGCTTATGAGCTAAACTGGCTCCGTCAAGAGCACAGTCCACTGAAGCTGACGGGTCTGGGAGGCGTGGTTCTGATGGCCGCGGTAGGAGGGTGCACCTACATGTCCTCGCAGGCCCTCGGAGCCCTCGGGCTCTCTCCTCCCAGAGAGCATGTTGCAGGCAACGTGTGTCTCAAAGCTATGTTTGCATCTTGACAGACCCGTTCCACTTATGGGAGGAATAATGCACAAGAAAAAACCCCTCAGGCATCAAACTGTTCTTTATAGTTTGGTTTTGAATACCAGAAAAAAATTTCTGAAAGCAAGCTGAATATTGTGTGGTGGAGAAATAGTATGTTAGTATTGGTATCTTACAATGGCACATGGCTAGTGGTGATAAAACCCTGTGATTATGAAGACTAGGTAGCAACAGGAAGAAAAATGCTCATGATGTAATGTTCATTTTAACATGAAAAAAATGAGATACAATAAAAATGAAACATGGTTGCATTAAGATAAAAACAAAAGAAACAAATGAGAAGAGTTACTAAATTGCTGTGATGGGATTATTCTTTTTTTTTTTTCTCCTTCAGTTTCCAGATTGTTACCATGTGCAAAGTGGTGTGAGAGTTGAAAACAGAATCTGGAACCAGAGGGTTTGGTTTCAAAGCCCTAGCTTTACCACCTGCTTACTAGCTGGGTGACCAACCTCTCTATGCTTTGGCCCCTCATCTGTAAAAGTGGGGACAGTAATAGCATCTAACTCTTAAAATTATTGTGAGTTAGCAGATGTAAATGCTATACAATAATTGCTATATAGCTACTGACTATAAAAAATAAATTTAATTATCATAAATTATGCATGGCCTCATATCTTAACCATAAATCTGTGCTAGTATTGGTGTGGTTTTCTTTGTATTTTTTTTTCCTTATTTGAAAGTGCTTTCATCTTCCAAATGTGATTGTCACAGTACTATACAGTGTGAAATTATCTTTTCTATTAATATCATGTTGCGAGGATTTTTCACTAGCATTTCTGATGGAGGACCATGATTCCCGAACCCTATTTCCACCCCCTGTCCACCTCCTTCAGATCCCCAAGACTCTCTTCTCTGGTTCCTACAATAAATACAGTGGTTGACTTATTGCAAATATAGTTGCAATTCTCCACCCTGTTTTGACAGGGTGTCAAAGGTGACAGTTGTACCTTCTCCACCAAGATATGGAATCTATTTCTCTGCTCCTTCAAGCTGGGCTGCCCTGGTGACTTGCTTTGACCAAATGAATGCAGCAGAGATAAAGCTGGGCCAGTTTTGAGGCCTCAAGAAGCCTGGGGTGCCCTCATTCACATAGGTGGAACCCTGCAGCTTCTGTGAACAAGTTGGAGCTAGCCTGTTGGAGGAGAGACCATGTGGAACAGGGTCCAGGTGCCGGACTGAGACCATCCCACATTTGCAGATCACCAACCCCCAAACATGTAAGAGGGCCCAGCCAACATCACCATAGCTGAAGAACTGCTCAGCTGACCTGTAGATTCGTGGAAAATACGAAATACATGTTGCTTTGGGCCACTGAAGTTGGGAATTTTTTTTAAAGATTTTATTTATTTAAGAGAGAGATAGGGAGAGAGAGGATAAGCAGGGGATGGGGCAGAGGGAGAGGGAGAAGCAGACTCCTCACTGAGCAGGGAACCCGATGCAGTACTCGATCTCAAGACCCTGAGATCATGACCTGAGCTTGCCCCGGGAGTGTTTTGTTATGTAGCTATGGCTCATAAGTATAACCCCAAGGAAGCAGGCTACTGCTATGAGAGCTTCTGATCGACTGACCCACTGGACAGGACAGACAGGGCACCCTCTTCACCTCCTCCCTTCCAGGGTCCATGGTACTGGCCCTGTGTCCACCCAGGTGTCACCCAAAGTCGCCAAAACCCTCAAGTCATCACACTCGTGGTCCTCAGTGGGTAATCTTAGTCTCTGCAGTTTGGGCCCCTTCCCAAAGATAAGGACAACCCCATAGTAGGGGAGAATTTCTCTGGGCCCATCCCACCCTGTCTCCTTACTGTGGGTCAAGTAATTTTGCTTGTCTTCAAAACAGGGAAGGTGGAATGGAACTCTTGGGTTCCAGGCCGTCTGTGGGAGGGGCAGGTACATGCTCATGCTCCAGGGGTCTTCCAGAAAGACTTCCTAGCCTTCCCCCCAGAGCTTTCTCATCAACAGCCTCAGAACACCTGGATGGAAAGTGACCTAATAGAGGCCCCAGGTGGGGCCTAAACTGCTGTCATTCTGCCCCTGCCTCACCTTGATGTCCCTCAAACTCCAAGAGAGTTCACAAATTGAACACTCCATCAAAAAAAAAAAAAAAATGCTGCCATGATATGCTGCCATACAGATTTATACAAAACTTTTCAACTACTTTGAAAGAGCTTTTTTTTTTCTTTTTTGGCAAACTGGTAAATGCAGTAAATTTAGCAAATTGGTCATTCATTCAGCCCATCGATTTTGGGTGTTGGTTTTGTGGAACTGACCCAGAGTCCTGTGCCTGCCACTTTCAGTAATGCCCACAGGCCTAGCACTGCACTTGCATATGAAGCAAGGCCCTGGAAAGATGTTTGAAGAGTGGTGTGTATCGTAGCTGGTGGTGTCAGCTCAGGGACATCCTCTAGGCACACTCAGTTATTTTCTCCTCGGACAGACAGGTGTACAGACACTCATATGTCAGGGAAGAGGAGTAGAGAGGCCAAATTCCCCGAGCTTGGCTCCCCCAGTCCCTCTGCTGTTGACTGGGCAGTATTGTGTAAGCACCAGGGTCGGGCCTGGAAAATGGCGGGTGGGACCACCTTAGGCTTTGGTTTTCAGTGTGGAAATCTCTGGCCTCCTTCAGGTGCCCTGGCAAGGCTCCGACTTCCTCCACAGCAACAGTAGGATGTGTTGATGGGGTACTCGGTGACAGGCTAACACCTGCCTTTATAGTCACGACCTCACTGACTCCTTACCCGAGCCTGGCATGGTAAATTCTAGTATCATACCCTTTCACAGGTGAGGAGACTGAGGCTTATCAGAGCTGGGTGACATGTTCAAGAGCACGCAGCTAGCAGGTGGTGGAGCTGGGATTCCAGCCCAGAAGGTGCTCTGCTTTGGGGCAATCTGAGGTCTTGGGCATGGGCATTTCTTCTGGAGCTCACTGCAGGAAAGCTGCTCTCTATGGAGGAGGCAATTTGTTGCAGTGGAAAGAGGTGGATAGACACGGGTTCCTGGCTCTGCCTCAGATTCTTTCTGAGTCTCAGTTTCCCAATCTGTAAAAGGAGGACAATGCTTCCCTGGGGTGGTTCTGAGGATTTAAATGAGATTATATAATAGGGACCTGTACGCTCTTTATGTTCGAAGTTGTTTGCAAGTTTCTGCAATTGAATTAAAAAATATATTTTTAAATTAAAAATATATAATTTTATATGTGTGTGTGTGTGTATATATATATACACACACACAGAGAGAGAGAGAGAGAACTCCAGAGTCAACATGGAAGTTATGCACCTAGATTATTCTAAAGTGTTGAGTCACTAACAAAACAGCTGCCCTTGTACTGTGCTCAAGGAGTTAACCTAGCTGTTTCTCCTAGGAACTGTGTGTTTGTGCGTGTGCACGTTTGCGTGTCCGTGTGTGTGTGTGCGTGTGCGTGTGTGCACATCCTTAACTTCTTTTTACAGCCTGTGAGTACATCCTGGGGAGGGGTTTGGGGATGAGCTCACTCAGCAGGGAAGGACTCTACCTCTCTCTTCCCTAGGGTTTTGCCTTATTTATTTCGTGGAAACACTCCTCCCCCTCCTCCTCCTCTTCCTCCTCCTCCTCTTCCTCCACCACCACCACCACCACCACCACCACCACCACTGGCTGGGGCCTCAGCAGGGAGCGGAGCCACAGTCTGTCAGTTAGTGACTTACTCTCACCTCTCCTGGGCGGGTACTTCACACTTGGGTCCAGTGTGTGAGTACTGGTTATTTTTATCCCACCCCAAATTCATGTGATGCCAGTTTGGAAGGAGGGGCTGTCAGCTTCTCCAGAGAAGTGGCCTGATACTAAGCTATCCTGTCTCCCTCCCTTCTTCTCCTTCACACCCAAGCTCCCCTGGCACAGGACTCTCAGTAGTTGGCTGTGGGTGGGTTGGAGGCTCTAACTCCGGTCATGGGCTCCGTGGGCCATGCCCCCGGGGGAGCCAGCATGAATGGGGCCTGCTCAGACCCCTGGGAGGGACTTTAGGCTACAGAGAGTAGGGGGCAGGAGCCCTGGATTAGTGTCAGGTCTGTGGCTCAAGGCTCTGCTGCTTTCCCCTGTGTACTCTGCCTGCTCCGGGCCATGGGGCCCTTCTACTGAAGGCCAGTGGAAGTCTAGTGGTGCTAACTGCACACTGGGACCAGGCAACCGCCATGCATGCACCAGCAGGCACCCAGCCTAGGCCAGTGCTGGAAACTGGGGGTCTGCAGGCCCCCTTGGGCTTGTCTCCTTCAGCATCCAGTGCCCCCCTGCCAGGCCTTATGGGAGAGGGCAGTCTTGTTCCTCAAGACCTCACCCTGGCATGGAACCCAGCTCTGCACGTCCAGCTTGTACCCTGGGACTCTCTGAACCTGTGAATCCCATTCCCCTACTGATCACCTTTTTTCAGTCAAATGCTCTTCCCCTGAGCTATACCCCCTCTTGATCACCTTTTTTCATGTGCCAACTCATGAGGTCAGCCTTGCCTTGGGTGGTAGCTTCTGTGGACACCCCCTGACTCACCAGCCTCTCTTCTGTCTTCCATGGCCCCTTCTTGCCCATCTCAGGCCCCCATGCCTGCTGCTACCTCTGCCTGAACACTCCCCTCCACATTCCTCCTTCAGACTCCTTGCCTTTCTTCAGGTCTCAAATGTGGCCTCTTCTGATGTCACCCACCCAGGGTAGGGGTTGTTCCTGGTATCATTTCAAATCGCATTCTGTTCTTTCTCTTGACAGAAGGTATTTGGTTCAAAATGATTACTTCTTTGACTTTTATTGGCAGGGAGGGTATGGTTCTCTGCATTAGACAGGAAGTTCCATGAGGCCAGGGTCACATCTGCTGTGGCCCCTCCATGTCAGGCACAGCTGGGGGCTGACCCACATGTACCACCTGTCCCATGGCCTCCCCAGAAGCTTTTCTTAACCATCTGGACAGGGCGCTGTGCTTACCTTTCCGGGTCGTCAGGGCAGGGTTAGGAACTCGGGAACAGCACAGTCTGCGTTTCCAGGGCCTGCTGAGATGACTAGAATTTTTTCTCCCTGAGGGTGGACACAGAGGGGCAGAGACCCTTCCTTAGGAGACACCATGGGATTGGGATCTGTGAAGGAATGACTTGAATATGTCTTCACTCCCAAGGTGCAGGGGTCAGGAGTATTTATTCAAGGAAAATCAGGATGGGCCAGGCTATGGGAGGGCCGAGGGGGGAAGGGTAGGCCTGGGGGTGATTATTATTATTTTTTTTCCAGAAAGAACAAAATCTGTGTGGGCAGCTACCGTCTTCCTCACGTTCCTGTCCAAAAAACAACACCATCGCTCAAAGTGTCTATGCCCGTTAACTCAGTATTCTCCCTTTGGCCATCTAGCCTAAGAAAATAATCTTAAATACAAGACATGTTTGATATTACAGATATGCTTTTTACCACATGCGTAAAACAGTGCAACGTTGTGAACCATCTAAATGTCGAAGCATGAAATTCATCGTAACACATTCACTGGATGGCATGTTATACCTCCAAATATTACTTAAATAACACATGTTGGAGCCTATGCCAGCAATGCTCCTAAATGGACCAGAGACTTTATGGGGAAAGGTATTTATCTTCAACGAGCTGTCATTGAGGTAACAGTGGCAGCCTCTCACATGGCCCCAAATCCGAGGTCTGGTAGACTGCATTGCTTTGGACTGTGCCGACGAGCAATTCTAATCACTGTTTCCCATATTACATATGCAGCAACGTTCATGGCAAAAACTTTAGAAAACCGATACTTCTTATGATCGTAAAGCTCAGAGACTATGGCTGTTGATATTCTGGTGTAAATGCTTCCAGAATAATTTCAATCATAAGTATCTTTGGTGATTATAATAATACAGTGATAACAAAAGAGATACAGCATTGAACATATAGAGATATATCAATTTCAAGAAAGAAAATGCTTGCCTGCAATATTAAAAAGAAATAAAAGGTTGAACATGGTATTCTTGAGTCATGAAGGTATGGGTGTGTTTTGCCCCATCTCTATACATGTCTGTATCCCCAACTCCAATAAATGTTAAAATAACCATAATTGCTAATAATAATAATAATGATAATCATAGTAATAGGCATGGTCTAGTGGAGGCAAGAGAGAGGCAAGAGAAAAAGCTCAAAATAGTTACTTGAAACAAGAAAGGCAGGAGACTAAAATATGCATATCCACAGAGGTGCGAGGAATATCTCCCCTACTTGCAAACACACAAAACATGTCCCCTCACCGCACCCCATGCATCCGCTCTGCTGCGTCTGCTGCACATGGTTGCTGTGCATGAGATCTGACGATGTTCAGACTCCGACAGTCCACTCTTCCAACTTCCTGTCCTGAAAGCATGATATGCGTACAGCAGAGTGGCTCCAGCATTTCTAGCTAGGTAGGATTCAGGTGCAAGAATCAGTCTTGCCGGGAAGTTGTGTGCTTGTAGTAATCACATCACTTTCTATATAGCTTGTGTGTGTGTGTGTGTGTGTGTGTGTGTGTGTGTGTGTGTTAGGGGAGCTGGGGTTATGGATGTAGATCGGGTGGTGCTGCCACTGTGGAGAGAGGTGCCACAGATTTCGGAGGGTGAGCCTGTCTTTCCAGCCCCAGGCCTGCCTCCTGGGGGCCTTGCCCTCGGGAGTTACCTGATTCCAACCTCCCCAGGCCCTGCCTTCCGCTCAGGAGCCGGCACCCCAGGAGAGGGCCCTACCTTCTGTGGAGAAGATGGAGAAGCAGAGGAGCAAGATGCAGAGCAGCCTGGAGACAACTAGAAGCCTCATGGCGGGGTGGCCAGAACCTCACGTCCCGGGGAGAGAGCTGTGCTGCAGAGGTCCTCCTGGGGCCGCCTCAGACTTTTATAGGGTGACACAGTAAGGTGTTTCCCAATGGGCAGGGCACCACAGGCAGCCCTGGAATTCTCATAAAGGGTAGAGTCAGCCGCTCCCAAGAGGAAAAAACCAGCTTTTCAAGAATGTGAGAGTATTTAGTGAACTGTAACACGCAGAGCTATAAATGCCCAGCCCTGGGAGCTCCCAGCACCGGCCTCAGTGGTCAGAGTGGGAAACTCCCACCAGGGAAGGGCCACTTTCTAGTGTTGAACGTTAACTTTTACTGTCAGTAATTATCCCATCAAACACATATCTTCCTGATCATTCCTAAGATGAGGCTGGGAGGGCCATAAAACCCTTTGCGAAGCCTCAGGGAAGAGTGTCAAGATATCTGTGAAATGTAGGGAGCAGAGAGCCTGGAATCAGATGACCTGGGTTTGAGTTCTTTGCCATCTAACAGCACTGCGACCTTGCACTTGCCATGAAATGCCTCTGAGTCTGCTTCCCATTGGTGAGATGGACACAAGCCTGAATGAGCACGCGTGTGTGAGGGGCCATGAATGACACGGTGAAGAGCCATGAAGGAGGTGGGGCTGCAGCTGGACCTTGACAGATGCTTAGGATGAAATGAAAAGGCGCTTCGGGTACAGAGTTAGCCTGAGCAAATGTACGGAGGAAGGAAACATCTTACAAGGGCAGGTGTAAGGAAGAGTCCGCCATCAACACCTACTAACTGGACATATTCTGTGGGCTAGGATGTGCACAGGGGATGCTGAAGGCTCTGCGCCTGGCCTCAGGGAGCCTCTGTTGGTGGAGACAGCCGTGCAGATACACAGAATTGTGTTTGCCCTTGTGGTAATGTCCTAATGTCCTTCTAACCATCTCTCTGGTTTCCAGCTTCCAAGGGCACATGGGAAGAAGCCAGTATCCGGTTCCATTACCAGGGATCTTGCTGGTTCCTGACAGCCAATGCACACATTCCCTGCTGTCAGAGCCTGGCCAGTGGGGAGCTTCACTGGCCCTCCTCTCTGGCTAGAGATTAGATATACGATTTAAACCCCATGCTCAGATAGCTTGGTGAGCAAATTGGTAGCTGGGGATGTTTTTGAAAGTCAACTCTTAACACATTTGCAGAAACTGTAAAAGCAATCCACACAAAGCAACTGGCTGGGCCACTGGGCTTAAGGACCATATATCTTATCATGGGAGTCACCTGTCCAGCCCCTGCCCGATTCCCTGTCCAGGCTGTGTTCTGAGCAGGCAGTGGCCGTGGAGGAGGGTGTGGTCGGGAAGACGCCCCAGAGCCGACCAGGGACAACTCCGGAGCTGGAGCCTGGGAGAGACTTCCAAGCAGCCCATGTTGGAAAGAGGGCTGGGAGCAGTGTGGGTTGGATCCTGAGGCTGCACTTGCCAGCCAGCACCCTGTTCTCACTTAGATTGAACATTACAGACCCATAAGCTCCACACAGTTTCCTAAAGACGTTTCCTGACATTAGAATTGCATCCGTGGTCCACATCAAGGACGAGCACCACTATTTTATTTATTTTGATGTGAGGTCATTTGGGGGGGCCCCACTGAGTTCTCTGCACAACCACACACCTTTGGGCTGCCATTCCCCCATTATCTGTGGTTGTAACAGGTACTTTTTGCTTTTGGCAGACTATCATCGGAGCAGAAAAGAGCAACTTCCTGCCGAAGGGGGGCAGGGATTAGGCCAGAACTTAAAACTAACTCCAGTTGCTAAGCAGTGGTGCAGAAACTAGACTCTCAGGCTAGTAAAGGGGGAGATGTGTCTGGACCCAGTGGACTTGGGTAATTTTCCCAGGCCCCTCAGCCCCGCAGCTGTGGAGCCAGAAACAGATGTTAGGTTCTCAACACGTTTTTTTTCTCACCACAGATTACAGATCAGGGCCAGAGCTGGCTATCTCCAGGGTTCTTCTGTTCCTTATCCACTCACACGTACAATTCACAGATTTGCAGGTGTTCCGGGAAACGATATGTTTAAACAGAAGAATAGATTCAGATGTCAGAATTCCACCGTGCTTCGTAAATGCTTATGAGAACTTACTGAAGCAAGCTAGGCCCGCACGAATTTAAATAACACAGGGTATAGAGTTTCGGTTCCACCCAGGTCCCCCACAGGTCCCCCCACCCCCTTACCCAGAGACACTGTTCACAAATTCTCACCTGCTTTTTTTAACATTTCAAAGATAGCTATCAACTTATTACTTTAAAAAAGGAAGAAACACCTTGGGCTCTTTAGAATATTTGAAATCTCATGTTGAGTTGAGGGAGGTGAAAATGAGAAGCGTTTTAACAGGAACACCTACCTGTTAGTTTTTAAGCTTATGCCGTTTGGGTACAAAAATAATATTTGAGTCTTTGAATTATTTCTAAAGATGATTTTGAACACTTGCAAGCCTTCCTGAGAAAACTCAGAAACACACCTAACGCGAAGGGGAATTTATAAGGAAGGAAGTATTTTTAAGTCAAACTTGTGATTTCTATAGTCAATTAGGAAAATGCCTGAAGCGTCCCCACCTTTTACAGGTAGAGCATTTTTGGCCGGAGTACCCACACTTTACTCTTCACCTGTGTGATGCTTTCTTCCAAAGATGTTTTATGAACCTGCAGTTGATCAGAAATGACTCTCCTGCCTTTATTTGCTTAGTAAACTGCAGACCAGTTTTTATAGTAGGAGGGGCCAGACACTGGAGCGATCCTATTTAACAACCCCCGCACCCCCCACCAAGCTCAAGGATACAGATCTTGTATTTCCAGCTTGCAACAGGGGAAAATGAGGTTTTCTTTCATCTCACAAAAAGACTTGTGGTAACTTCTTATCTGGAACCAGGTCTGCCTGACTCCAAAGCTGAGTTTCTTTTCTAACATTGACTCTATGAGAGCTCACAAGTAGTTGAAAATGTTCATCTTACATGCCACCCCCAAACTGTACAATAAACCAATAGCTTCCTCCATGTTTTACAGTTGATCCGAACTTCCTCAAAAGCCTCCAGCTCCCTGGGTCTTCCCTGCCTCCTGCTCCTGGAATAAGATGGTAAATCCAGGATCTGTCCCTTTTACTCCTGCCATCACTGGTTCCCTGGGTTCTCACAGATGCCATGTACCCTCCCTCTGTCCCCTCCCCTGTGGTGTGGACTGTTTACCCCTAGCCATGGCTGTGGGCTACCCCGCCTCACCACAGTGCGTGCCAGTAGGCCCGGGGCTCCTCCATGGAAATCATGCTGGAAGGTCACCTTTTCCATACCACCAAGGCACCTGGGGACACTAGCAGGCACTGTCTTTTTTTTTTTATCCTGCAGCCACTTATGTTGGTAGTGGAGTACTTCTGAAGCCACTGACAGGAATACTCCCTTGGCTGCTTTCCTATCTCTGTCTCTTGTCTCTGCAGCTCCTGACCCTTTGCCCCCATCACCTCACCCTCACCCCGTGGTTTCAGCCTGCAGTGGGGGGACCAAGGACCCCTGTCTGCAGTTTCTGTCTTCCTCCCTCCCCCTACCCCCTAGAGTCACAGGGTCCAGGCTCTAACCAGAGCTTTGCCACGTTTTAGCTTGTGTGACCCTGGCCAAATGACTCAGCCTCTTTCTCAGTAAGAGAGTAGCTGAAGCTCGAGAGAAACATCTTTCTGAGAGGGTAACGCTGAAGTGTCGTGCTATATGAAAACAACTATTAGACTAGGTGGTCCACTGCCAGGAGAGGGGGGCAGAGTTTCCTTCCCTTTGTCAACAGCATCCTATCTCCAAAACATACCTTCCACTTGTGTTCAAGGATGTATGATGCTTCTTTAATGCAGAACAATGGTTGTCTTTTGTTGCATTTCATAGCAGATTTTTATTTATTTTTTTAAAAAATTTTTTTAATTTATTTGACAGACAGAGATCATAAGTAGGCAGAGAGGCAGGCAGAGAGAGAGAGGAGGAAGCAGGCTCCTCGCGGAGCAGAGAGCCCGATGCCGGACTCGATCCCAGGACCCTGAGATCACGACCTGAGCCGAAGGCAGAGGCTTAACCCACTGAGCCACCCAGGCACCCTCATAGCAGATTTTTAAAAAGCACACTGAAATTCAGGTCTAAATGACTTAAGAGCAGGCCCATTTATAAACGTGAAGCTGGACTAAGAGGGTAAGGGCCAGGAGAGCAATTGCCAGAGACTTGGGCAGCGAGGGCACGAGGAATGCCAAAGTCGGTCACTTTTGCCAGCACTTGCGGCTGGGAAGCTGCAGGTGGAGTTGGACGGGTCCTGTTTGCCAGCATCTGCTCTGTGCTTTGCAGGTTTAGCAGCAGGCTTCCCAGAAGAGAGGTGTCTCCTTCCCAGATTCTCACCCCCACACCCAGCACCACCAGGTCAGCGTGGATGAGCAAGGTGCTGCTGGAGCGCTGCGTCCTGAGGGAAACTTCAGGCCTGTTGTTGCAGACACAGCATGGGCAGGGCTAAGGGGACCTTGAAGGCTCTGAGTCTGGTTCGTCTGAGCAGAGATGTGCCAAAGGCCACAGAGTAGAGAGATGTTCTGCGTTCTGGGTCTTTCCACTAAGTTCCTAAAACCTGAAAAACTTCTTTAAAGTGTTCCAATGTTCTTTCCATTAAAAAAAAAAAAAATTGCTTAGGGGCAGCTGTAATACATTGACGAAGATACAGAACACCCGTTTTCTATCAAATACCCATTTTTTTCTGCTGCTCAGAACTAACAGTGAAAATCTTGGCATAGTTTCCAACTTCTTTGTAGATGACTCCTCTACTGAAATGCAGTAGTGAGCGATCTCCCTCGTTTCTGAGGCACCCAGTACAGTCAGGGAGACCATTTGTGAGCACACACAGTCACAAACACATTTGGTTTGCAAGCAGAGAAGGCTGAGGTCTCAGCAAAGCCACGCAGGATTCCTCCTGATGCTGCACACAGGGGCTCCCCAAGCACTCCCCCTTCTCACAGAGGTGAGGAGCCCCCTCCAGCCCTCAGCCCTGTGCTGGGAGTGGACACCTACATTCCTGTGGGCACTCACACAACTGCCCCCTTTCTCCGAACTCCCGGAGCAATTAGCCTGGATATGTTTTTGTAGTTTCTAGAAAATGACTTCACAATTACCTTGGGTCATTATTTGCTATTTCTCATATTTTAACTACATGGTACCTAATAGAGGGCTCAATAAGCATTTGTTGACTTGATTGCTT